GTGACAGCTTGTGGCTGGGGTAGTTGTGTTCCTACTCTGGTCTTACTAACAGCTCAGCGTTGGTTGAAGACATCTTCATTGATGACACAGTGGACTGGAGCCAAAGCTCTGGCTGAAATTCTGGTCCTTTGCAAAGATGAGTTGGGAAGGGTGTAACATCTTAATGCGGCTTGACCTGTTTGGGGTTGTAGTCTTTGATATCATCACAGGCTTCCAAAGGTTACACTATTGACTAGAGACTTCCCTAAGCTTGTCAGCCATGCTTGTATGTTCCATAAGGAATGTGCCATTGTGTTTTTGTATTGTAAGTGTTGTATACTCCTAGGAAATGGCTAGGTCGTCTTTTTATATCTGTTGGATGCCATCTTGAAGTACCTGGTAGTATAGCAGTAATCATAATGTTCACAATCAAAACTAATAGAACCATTGTGTAAACAGATGTTGTTGTCTTGGGCCTAATCAGGGCCCATTGAAGGCTTTGAGTTAGCTTTGGATCATGTCCTTTTGCTCTGTGACCTTATTGTTGTCCTTGTTCTCTCTTCCCCACCTCCCCACTCCCAACTTGATCAGTTGCCCTTACCTTTTGTGTCACATTTCATTTGGGTTATAACATCTTTGTAGCAAAAACCTTGCCTTGACTTTTGAGAGAATCCTGACACACCTTGAGGCAGTCAGATCAGTATATCAGTTTATTGAAGAGATGGGGGTGGAAAGGACATAAGAGTTGAGTGGTATTTATGGGTCCCTCACTTAAACATTTTGGAATAGAACTGCTTAAAGGTGGGTAGTCAGTCTGCTCCTGTAGTTCAGACTCTTGGTTTCTGGGGTTGCCTGTGTGTTCACTTAATGCCTGCAGTTTTGGGGGACCTGCACATCTTGCAGGAGCATTTTAATTAAGTTAAGATGTACAGTTCAGTGTGTGAACATGCATTTTGTATTATTTTTTTAAAGTGGAATGGCCATCAGCTGTCTGTATACAGCTCTGTGCCTCTGTCTTATTTGTGCATTGATTTACCCAAGTTCCATTAAACTATATTCCTGATTTCTGACTGATGTCAGTTTTATTGGCGGATTTTCAGATTGCTAGTTTCCTCTGACTAGATGGTTTGCTGCTGATGCTGTCACTTGCAAGCCTAAAACTTCAAATTCATCTTCTACATCTGTTACTAATCTGCTCTGTTCTAGCCTGATATTATACAGCTTGGTTACTCTGTCATCCTGCCTACAAAAAATTGACACTAAATCCCATAGGAGACTTGGCATTGGCTGTGGTAAAAACGTAATGGAGGCTACGCAGTACTATGTGATTTTTTGGTGCTGGAGCTTATGGATAGGATGAAGCTCTTGTCTTCTGCCCTCATGGAGAAGAGAAATTTAACACTTTTTTTCCTTTCCCTTTTGTAAAGCAAAAGCTGGCAGGCTGACAAACGTGCAGCTTACAGGACGGACTCTCTGGCTACTGACCATTTAGCTGGTAAGTGACTGTTTTGCATGTACCTAAGTTTCTGGGCCGCTTGCTCTGTAGAGAGGGTGCCAGTGTTTTTGGCAGTGACTATGTAATTACATGTATGTTTAAATCTTCAGTGGCTGCATGATGACCTGTGCCCTGGGGATACCCTCTCTAATATCACCCCTTTCTAGTCTGCAAATGCTCATATTGGATAGGACAGTTGCAGAGAATTTGACTTCTAATTCAGAAATGGCTGGTGGAAGAGGAGGAACTGTAGGGCTGAGGTTCCAAATGCCCTGGAAAGTGCCCGCGCCCCCCCCCCCCCCCACACACACACCTGGGGTTACCAAGTTCTGTTACTGGACTGCATGGGGAACCTGGATTTTGAATGGGTTTAGTTAGGGTGACCATAAGGAAATACAAGGTATCTGGGACACTCCTGCTACCGCCCACACCCCAGTGGTGCTGCTGCTGGCACTGGTAGAGACCAGTGGGCAGGGATGTGGGTGCAGTCCGGTGGGGAGGAGGAGCTGCTTGGTGTACCATGCTGCTCCACCTCCCTGTTGCAGTCTGCCCCTGCAATTCCAGGACTTCTGCTTTAAATTTTGATCAATCGACTAGGACCAGCCTATGAAAACTAGGACTAGTCCAGTCAAACTGGGACGTATATGGTTACCCAAAACGTAGACCTTGTGTTCCCTTTAAGCAGCGTTCAGGTCGGTGCTGGGAGAGGCACTTCTTCATAACTCAGCATCTTGATTGTCGTGGAGCAAGGCATATATAACTCCCAGCAATGTTGGCCACAGTTATTCTTCCTTTGCAAACTAGAGGTGAGGTGGAGTTGCAGCCAGCCAGGAGAAAGGACATGGGGTGCCAGGAACAGAGCAGTGCTACCAGCTAAGTCTGGCACTCCTTGTGCTCCAAGAGCACTCCAGGCCCAGAAAGCGGGAGAGCAAGCACCTATGAGAATAAAAAGTGGGGATGTGGCAAGATGCAGAGCTTTCCTCAACACCTGTGCTGTCCTTTTGCTGCACAACTGGCTTCCTTGGTGAATAGGCAAGAGCTATGAAAGGAAATAGTTGCAGTCCCCTGTTGGGACTGATTCTACATCAGTCTGCCTCTTCTTGTTTAGAGACACAAATTTCCATTCAATTAAATACTACTTTTTAATTTCTTGGAAGGTGGATGTTTTACTAGTTAGGAGGCTCTTGAGTGAACAGAGTATCCTCCATTCCAAATCCAGCTCTAAAATCAGTCTATATAGAGAGGTTCCCCCTTTCCACATCTCTGCTGGTGACCTCAGTGCATCTTCTCTCTAACAGTGGCATACCCGGATTGTGCGTGGGTGGGAAATCGACAATGAGCTCGGTGGCAGTTTTGACCCAGGAGAGCTTCGCTGAACACCGCAGCGGCCTGGCGCAGCAGCAGGTGAAAGGTAAGATGGCATCGGGAGACTTCCTTGAAACCTTTGCCTACCTAATCCCTCCACAGACAATTGCCTGCATAGACTAGGTCTCCTGCTGTCTTAAAATTACCTCAGAACTGCTGTGCTCCTTGTGGGAGGCAAAAGACAAGGTCTCTTTGAATAGTGATGGTCTGTAAGAACAAGTCCTCCCGCCAGCAATGAAAAAGCAATGTTTAATGCTCATCTGGCAGAGGTAAAAAATGACTGAGCAAGGTGTGAAACCACTGACAATTGGGCCCATGTCTTCTGCAAAGGATCCTTGTCTACAGATGACAGACATGACTGGTGCATCCTGTAGGACAGGCTAGAGCGGAAAGACCACCGTGCAGTGCTCTGAGGGCACTTACTCTTAGTAAGAGAGCCAGGCACAGGAGAATGAATTCCCTCCCAAGTTCGCCCAAGGGCTTGTGGAAAGGGCCACAGGTACACGGAAGAAGCTACTGAAGGAATCTGTTTTCTATCTTTCTCGGCTTGTAGGGCAGTTCACTAGCTTTAGTGGCATTGCATGTATCTATATCAAGGGTTGATTTCAGTCCAGGATGCCTAGAACTTCCTGTTTTGACACTGAATCAAATTTCAGGTTTTGTTGCATTAAGACAAGACTGATGTTAAATCACAGCATCCAGGATTTTATTGGATTTTGTTCTTCAGCTGTGTACTGCTACCCCACCCCTCCTTCCAGGAGTATTTCTTTACTTCTGGTCTCACTCCACCCCTTCACTTTTCTTTCCGTTTGGGTGATCTCTCAACTACTCCATCCCCAAAACTGGCACTACTTGTTGTTTTGATGCCATCATGCTTGGCTGTGCTTGTTTAATGTTTGGGCTTGCCTACTGTCTTGTTTGTCCTAGGGTGGGCTAGGACTGTCTTGCTGTTCTACTTAGCACAGTGAGAGTTGAGGTTGGCTATCTGTTTAGCAGAATTGTTAATCACCGCTGAGATGAGCTGTAATAGTACGCAGCCTGTGTGCCCTTTGTCCTAATTAGCTGTCTCTGCTAAATAGATGATGTTTACAGTAAGTATGAATGGGGGAAGTTCTAGCAATAGAATCATTTTCTGATTTGCCTGTTTTTTACTTTGCTAGTTACAGCTTTAAACTCGGAAGAAGAGAGTGATCCTCCAACTTACAAGGAAGCCTTCCCTCCACTCCCTGAGAAAGCAGCATGTCTGGAAACTGCCCAGGAGCCTGCTGGTGCCTGGAGCAAAATCCGACCAATCAAGGCTTCTGTCATCACTCAGGTTGGTGGGGACAGACTTTGTGCCCCCTTCCCCGTAAAAGAGCAGATTGGACCTCACCTTCCTGAAGAATTTTCTCTACAAAGCATGCTGGAGGGAGGGCAGGGAGGTATTTGTCTCTAGTTTTCCCCTTCAGTAACCTGCGTTTGGGGTGGGGAGTTCCATGGGGACATATTGAGTCGGCAGTTTTGCAGGGCTGTCTGTGGAGGAAAGAGCGCAGAACACCTTTGTTGTGGTGAATGCAGTGAGGGATTGAAACAAAAGAGGAACTTCATGCTTCTTCACAAAAATACCCAAAATCCAGCATAGTCTATTCTTGGGGTTGCCAAGAGCATTTAGAGTCCCAATAGTTAACACAGTGAATACCAGATAGGATGTAAAACCTCATAGTTCATGGCTAGAACCAGTTTCTTACCAGTGGAACAAGACTTGGTTAGGAAAGGGGGTAGACCCTCCCATGACCCCCTGTTGTAGTAGTCTTGTACCTTTCTCTGAGAGATGCTCAGTGTTAGCCCCTGAGACCAGGTCCTAAGCTAGGAGCTCCAGGGGGGTGAGATGTAGGGGTTGTTGCTGATCTGTCCAGTAGTTGCTCCTGTTGTGATGGGAGATTTCCCAGGTCTATGAACTAAGCTGATTGAACTGTCTTCAATTCTGCTTAGTTTTCCAAGCCAGTTTGCCGCCAGAATCTTGCTCAGTTATCACGGGGAGGAGATTCAGTGCAATAACCCTGTGTTAGGAGGAGGGCATGTGGCTGCAACTAAGCAGTTAGGGTAGTGTTGAATAACCTGCCCTTCCCTTACCTGTCTCTGTCTGAGAAGGTGTTTCACGTGCCACTGGAGGAGAGGAAATACAAGGACATGAATCAGTTTGGTGAAGGCGAGCAGGCCAAGATTTGCCTAGACATCATGCAGAAGACAGGAGCTCACTTGGAGCTATCTCTCGCTAAGGACCAGGGCCTTTCGATCATGGTCTCTGGAAAACTGGAAGCAGTCATGAAGGCTCGGAAGGAGATTGTCGCTCGACTCCAGACCCAGGTGAGTGCACTGAACTGTTTCCTTCTGGTCTCTGCTTGTCCCCCGTGGCCTCTCATGTTTGGAGGCCCTTGGGTGTGTGTGCTTATAAACTGAAGGGTTGTTGTTAGGTGACTAATTCAGCTTTGCCTCATCTTTCAAAGTGCACAATTGGCAACTTGGAATAGAGACTAGACTTAAAATAGGGTTCAAAGCTAATTACAGGGCATGCAGACTCCTCCCAGGACTGGATCCTGCAATATGTCAGGCAGACAGATGTCTTGTAGTAAGAACCGGCACCTGGAGAGACTATATCCTTTTCAGAGAGTTGGTGTTGCATAGAGGGGCTAGCCATTGGCTGAACTTCTACACCCAAAAACAGGAGAGAGGTGGAAGGTCCTCAGTGTGCTGCAGTTAACTTGTAAGGGAAGTTCTTTGTAATGGAGATTCTTGATCTTGGTAAAGGAAGACTAATATTAACAGAACATTTGCTGCCTCCCTTCACTACTATGACTGTATCAATCTAAGTGAGTGGAATTTATTTTATAATCAAGGAGATCTTTCTGCTTTGTATTCCACACAATTCCATGTGCATTTAGGATTTCTCAAATGCAGTTGCCAGTTAAGATGACATTAATGCATGCCCTGACCTTGGTACCTGTCCACCCACACACTGCACCAAGCCAGATGGTAGATAACAAAGGTGCAAATGGTGCATTAGGGCGTATTTTGAGCAAGCAGCACAGGCTGTATTGTAGTAGGAATAGAATAACAGGTTTTGGGGATACTGGGCAAGTGTCGTAGGAAGCCACCATTACAGTCCCTTTTAAGGGCTCCGCATTCATATGACATTCTTGCCTTATCCTGGCCCCTTATCAATAGAGAGCTAATTTGGACTTTACATCAATTTTACCTCGTTTTAAGCTTTATAATTAGTTTCATGGCTATACAAACACAAGCATCAAAAGCTCCTGTGTGGTGTCAGCTGTAAGCTGTTGTGCAAGAGTTCAAATTAAAATGATGGGTTATAAAGGAAAGGAAAGATCCTTGCCACAAAAGAAGCACTAGTAGCAGAGTCAGAGTGGATCCTGGAAGAGAGGGCCTCAGCCTGGGATGGGAAATGGTGCCTTCCACCTTGTGAACAGGCTGCTGATGCAGACCAGTTCAGTACTAGATTACCACTTAGTAGCTGTTTTGTAAGTTTTTTCCACAGGGCAGGATTGTTCTGCTTGTTAGAGGACATGAATCCATGCTGCTTGTCCGTGCGAGCAGAGGTCCAAGGGGTGTGTGTGCACTTAGCCTTTTTTAAGTGCCTTTCTTTTAAAGTGCCTATCCTCATGGCGTTTTCTCCTGTTGTAGCTGCAGTACAGTAGTGCACTGCTATGGCCTATGCTACATGTGGAGGGACCTCACCACTGGTGTTGAGGGGACTCCAAGGCACTCAGTCTATCGCTTGCATTTGCAATTGCTAAGTTTGCTCACCCCTATTAAGTCAAAGCTTGCTTCGCTCCCACTGCTAATGCAGGGTGTGCAGAGTGTATCTATTAATGACCCATGTCTCATGGAAAGAATCTTGAGTTGTAAGGCATGACAGAGTTGCTGGTAATGGAAAGAGGCCTCCTACCTTGGTTCACCTGCCTCTGACAGAGATGGTCTCACTTGGATGTTGGTTCCTATGTTTGTAGGCTTCAGCAACTGTTGCCATCCCCAAAGAACATCATCGCTTTGTCATCGGAAAGAATGGCGAGAAGCTGCAGGACCTGGAGCTCAAAACTGCAACCAAAATCCAGATCCCCCGCCCGGACGACCCCAGCAACCAGATCAAGATCACCGGCACAAAGGAAGGGATAGAGAAGGCCCGACACGAGATCCTGCTAATCTCCGCCGAGCAGGTAATGAACCTCGTTGCATTTTGAATACCTAGGCATGTGCTTCGATGCGAGGTGCCGGCCTTCTACAACAAAAGGAATGTAGTGTAGTGGTGAAGCAGTGTTCCAGTTACAGCTCAGGTCTAGGAGTCTGGAATCCTAGCCCTAAGGTGCTCACTACACACGTGTGTTAAGTCACTCATCCTGAGTTTTTTCCCAGGTGTACAAAAAATAGATGGGCAACATTTCACTTAATATTTTCCACATCTGGGTGGTGGTGGCACCTCTATCCTGTATGCTGCTCATGTTGGGTAACATCATTTTTGCAAATTTTACCGTAAAGGTGCTTCTGCCAAGTTGTTAATCATAGAAGTTTGCCTGCCCTTCCATGTTATAGCCCTCCTCCAGCTTGCCTCAAATCCTGATATTCTTTTTGATCAACTTGAATATAATGGAATTCTCGGAGTGGGGGGTGTCTTGCTGGTGAAAAGGATGGACCCTCTCAGCAGTGACAAGCAGCTCTTGTCCTATATCCTTCCATTTGGCAGTTGGGCTTTAACTTGCTGTATCCGTTCTTCCAGGCCTTCCAGAATACTTTTCACCAGTCAGGGCCAGTATGCTGTCAGCAGATGCAGCTCTTTCTTTTAGACTGCCCAAATAGCAGATGGATCCAGCTGCAGACTGACTTGTAGTAAAGGGTTGCTCTCTGGATGGTGTCTGAACACACTGAAATCTGTTGCTGAGAGTGTCATGGCTTGCTTTGGCCAGATGTATATAGGCTGATGGACTTGAGGGTCATAATGATGTAGTCATTTAGGTTCTTAATACTTTTATCTGTAGTGTCTTGTAGGAGTTGGAGAAAGGATGTACCATAAGATCAGGTAAGCATGAGACTTCAAGAATGCTTTGTACTGATGAGTATGTTAGAGACCAGAATTGATTTTGAGAACTTGGTCTTTGCTGGAAGGGACTTCTGAGCATACTTTACAGAGCTCCACGGGTAGATCCTGGGTAAAGTCAGTCCTTTTGTTTTGGGCCTATCTAGGATAAACGTGCTGTGGAGAGACTGGATGTGGAGAAGGTGTTCCACCCCTTCATCGCAGGCCCTTACAACAAGCTGGTGAGCGAGATCATGCAGGAGACAGGGACACGCATCAACATTCCACCACCCAGTGTCAACAAGACGGAGATAGTCTTCACTGGAGAAAAGGAACAGTTGGCCCAAGCTGTAGCTCGTGTGAAGAAGATCTATGAGGAAAAGGTATGGGTGGTCTGTAGAAAATGCATCCTGTTCCCTTACCTTATCTTTCCCACTTAATGTCTCCTGTCAATCCTTTTTGTATCCTTCCCAGAATGTAGTCCATCTTTTGGATCCCATCAGCTATGTTGACATCTCCTATTACAGAAGAGTGGGTCTTTTGGTAGCTTAGGCTTATTTCCAGAGAAGGTGACAAATGTTTGACTCAACACATTTCCTGGAGTCAGCTGACTACAAACTGTTTCAGTTGTGTTTTTAATCTCAAAGGCCTGAGTGGGAAGGCACAGCACTAGGAAGGAGGAGGCATTTGAAAGTGTGGCTTGAAGACTAGAATAGCCAGTTGCTTAACACAACTCCACATGTAATGGGCAGCTGAAGAGTGAATTTGGCTTCTGCTAACTTCCTACTAGCCGGCACTGTTCTGCAGTGTAGGGCTGCTCTCTCCTCAGCTAAGTCTGTATTTGTTGAAATCCTGGCTGTAATCAGCTTACAGCATGGTAGTCCATGTACTTACTGTGTTGCGGTGTCACCTAGAGGACACTATCGGGGATCTGGGCCTCATTGTGCAAAGGACTAAGCATGTGAGTGCTTCTACCTGCTTGTGCTGGAAGAACTGTGCCACCAGAGCTTAGTCTAATAGTAGATCACATGCTTTATTTGAATTGTAAGCATCAGACTTCCCTTATGAGACCTACCTTTTTAAAATGTGGAAGAGTGTAAATTGCCCTGGGTTACCTTACAACCATCTTATTCATCCTTACTTTTGTCCTTTCTGGGTGAAGTGTTTCACTATATCTGGTGGCTTCCCCTCCCTCCTCTCTCTTCCTTCCCTGCCCCTTGTGATTGATGCCCTAGTGCCTCTGCCCCCACAGAAAAAGAAGACTACGACTATCGCAGTGGAGGTGAAAAAGTCCCAGCACAAATATGTCATCGGCCCCAAGGGGAATTCCCTGCAGGAGATCCTGGAGAAAACTGGAGTCTCGGTCGAGATCCCACCCACTGACAGCAGCTCTGAGACGGTGATACTGCGTGGCGAGCCCGAAAAGCTTGGGCAGGCACTGACTGAAGTTTATGCAAAGGTAATGCTTACAGCATAGGTCACCTTTTCATAGTCTCCTCTTTGTGTCCCCTCTGCCCCCACCTAAGAAATGACTTTCTGCCCTATTCTGCCTGAAAGGTAAAATATTTGAGCAGATTCTAGAGCACCTGGAGGAGGCGGCCTTGGATATATCATGCTCTTGCCTGCAAAAGTTAGCTTGAGAAACCTGTACCAAGCAGGCTAGAGCAGAGGTTTAAACTGAAGTAGGCCTAGTGTGCTAGTGTGTTGGGCAAGTTACAGCAGGCCTTCATAATCATAATGTCTATATTCTTCCTAGGCTAACAGTTTTACCGTCTCCTCGGTCTCTGCCCCTTCTTGGCTTCACCGTTTTATTATTGGAAAGAAAGGACAAAACCTGGCCAAAATCACTCAGCAGATGCCAAAGGTAGGGATGGCATGGGATGACTTTGCTTACACTGCTCTATTCTGCAGTGCCTTTTCTCAAAGTGGTTCTTGCTGCTTTCTTCTAACCTCTTCCAAAAGCCTCTGGGTGTCTTGAAGCTACTATAGGACACCCTTTGGGGATGGATGGGGCTAGGGAAGACAGCATACTTCCTGACGAGATGGTCCTTCCATTGGGCCCAGACTGTCCTGTTCCTCTAGTTTACATAATACTAATTTAGTGCCCAGTAAAGTGTCACCATCCACATGTGTGCAGCAATTGGGCTGGTATAGACTAATGTACAGTGCTGCCAGATAATCTAGTCAGACATGGGTACTATCTGACAGTGGAGTAAATTGCTGTGCTTAAACTCACATGTAGACTGTGACATCAGGTTTATTTTATTTTGGCTCAAATCGCATTGGAGTTTATTCAGTCGCATTAATTGTACATGTAGACGTGGCCACTAAGTGTTCATCAGTGTGGTGGTTATACTCAATGGTGCTGCAAACCAGGAGTTTCGGAGGGTGAGAGAGCTGGTGGGTGTGTTGTGCTTATTCCCAACATTGAAAGCAACTTTACACTAAGTCATGCAACCTCTGATGCAGGCCACCTTCCCTTCAGACAAATAGCAAGATGGCATGCATGTTTGCTTTGCTCCCTACCAGGAGTGGAAAAAGCCAACCTTTGCCAGCAGTGCTGATTTGAATTGTGCACTTACAAGTTCTTACTGGGGTCTGGTCTCACCTTATTCAAAGGTTCACATCGAGTTCACGGAAGGGGAAGATAAAATCACCTTGGAGGGACCCACAGAAGATGTTAATGTGGCTCAAGAACAGATTGAGGCCATGGTCAAGGATTTGGTGAGTTGGCATGTTACGGTTCCTGGTAAAGGAATGAATTGCTGAAAGCAATGAGCAGCACAGACCAGAAATTTGTGTATATGTTATAGAGTCTCAAGAACTTTACCCCTGAATTGAGAAGATACAGAAGGCAGGCAGTATAGTGACTGAGTACTGGGGGGTGGGGCAGTGTCTAAACTCCAATATTGCTGATGAGATGCTATTCGGGGCATAAAATGCAAGAGCTTGTACCCTTCAGGCCAGCTAACATCACATGATTCTTTGCAGATCAACCGGATGGATTATGCAGAGATCAATGTTGATCACAAGTTCCACCGACACCTCATTGGAAAGAACGGAGCCAATAGTGAGTAGGAAGCCTTTTGATAAATGTTCTATGGCCCCTTGCATTTGTCTGTCTCCTTCATTTAGACAGTGGCTGGAATTCTGTGATCTAATCTGTATTGGCTTAACACTTAACAGGTGCTCACCAGAAGAGCTCTTAGCTCAAAGGACACTAGAACAATGTGCAATGCAGTGGTTTTTGTTTGGTTTAATTCCAAGTTGTCATGGATGGCCTTTACACCCATAAAGTCTCCCTCTCTACTAGAGGGAAGTTTTAGCATCTTTCCTTTCCTTTGAGTTGTTTTGTAAATGATGCAATGTGCTAATCATCTGTTTAGAATCCAAGATTAGCCCCTAAATTCATGTTTGTTCTTCAAGAACAAACCAACATGATTTTATCTAAATAGCTGGATTATTCAGGTGGAGGGAGAGGCGTGGGGGCATGCAGAATGGAAAGATGTTGCATTCTGGAGATATTGCATAGATTTGTGGACACCAGGCTGTCTCTTGTAGTTTCCTGTGCAGCAGACAGACCTGTTCTTGCTGACCTTCCAGGCTGGGACAAACTTTTTGCTTCCCTTTTTTTTCCTCTTTGAATTTGCTTATTTTCTCTGCGGAAAAGATGGGGCCTCTTTGGAGGCCAATTTGGGGTACAAGGCGTCCTTGTAAAACAAGTCCTTGTGTGAGGCCTGGACTGGCAAACAAGCTGTGATATGCTCATCTGTTTCTTCAGCCCAGTATTTGCCTTGCAGTTAACAGGATTAAGGACCAGTACAAGGTGTCTGTGCGTATCCCCCCAGACAATGAGAAGAGCAACCTGATCCGAATTGAAGGAGACCCTCAGGGGGTCCAACAGGCCAAGAAAGAGCTGCTGGAACTTGCTTCACGTATGGTGAGTAGGAAGGTGTCACGGCTTGATCCTTGAGAGATCCCATTGGCAAGGCTCTTGTACTAGTACTTCTAACTAATGCTTATGCAACAAGGGCCTTCACCCCAGCCAGTACTTGTGTGCCATGTACTGTGCAGGTGCTAGTGGCAGAGTAAACTTGATCCCTGCCTGTAGCTTTAGAGCAGGGGTTGGCAACGTTTTGGGGCAGAGTGCCAAAAACACCCACAACCTTGACTTGTAAAATGTTGGTGTGCAAGGGGCAGACAGTGGGGGAGTCATGAGTGGCCCAGTTGTCATAGCAGGACAGCCCCAACCCCTTTTCTGTTTTCCGCCCCAAGGCACGAGTGCCAAGCAAAATGCCTTCAAGTGCCACGCTCTGGCACCTGTGCCGGGGGTTGCCTACCCCTGCTTTAGAGCATCTGTCTATCAATCACTCCCAGGGCACAGTACTTGTAGCTTGCCAGAGGTGATTTGATTATTTCAGAGCTGTTACTGTCCCATAATTGTCAGGTGTCAAACTGGGAAAATTGAAGGGCGTGGACTCTGCTGTTTAATATTTGTGGTATCTGTATTTTCACAGGAGAATGAACGTACCAAGGACTTAATTATTGAGCAGAAATTCCACAGAACCATCATTGGGCAGAAAGGCGAGCGGATCCGAGAAATCCGGGAGAAATTCCCAGAGGTGAGGCTCCCCAAGAATCCTGGTGCCTCTTAATATTTGTGGATTTCTCTTCTGTTTTAAGTTAGGGTAAATGACTGCAGTTCTTTCAGCTGGCTGCAATGCTTTAGTGACACCCACCCCACTCCCAATCTCATGGGTTTTAATAATACTGTAGCTATGACATGGTACCCTGGCTCAGAGTCCCAAGAGAACACACTTCTAACATTTGAGTTTGAGTAATGCCATTGTTTGTTGGCTACTCAGGTGTACAAACTATTAGCAAGTGGACAGGGCATTCTTGGCCTCTGTTGGGAATTCTTAAAACACTCTTTTGAGGGGAAGGTTCCTCAAATGAGGGCTGGATTTTGCAGCATATGACTTGCTGATGATAACATTGAATTTTACATGATCTTGCCCTGAAGTGATTGCCTCTTGCAGGTTATCATCAATTTCCCAGACCCGGCACACAAGAGCGACATTGTTCAACTCAGAGGGCCCAAGAACGAGGTGGAAAAATGCACCAAGTACATGCAGAAGATGGTGGCAGACCTGGTATGAGAGCTTTGTCATCTTCCTTCATGGCTTGTGTGGTTTTGGGATGGAGAACTGACCCAACTTGATCTATCTGGCACTTGAACATCAGAGTAGATGAGTGGGACCCCTATACTGTGGTTGATATTTTTTAATAAGACTTCAGGTTAATTCAGTGGAAAGGAGTTGGCTTCCCATCTTGCTGGCTTCAGTCTCTTAAGTGGCTGTACTTTTCTGACCTTAGTCTCATAAATCATAAGGTATTTAAGGGGTAAGAAAAGGCTCTAACTTGGGTAAGAGTTTCAACACAGTAGAAATCATGAGGCAGTGGCAGGCTTGTTTAGTGTAACTCCATCTCCATAACTAACTAATCCCTTTTTTCTCTATTTGGAAGGTTGAGAACAGCTTTTCTATTTCTGTCCCCATCTTCAAACAATTCCACAAGAACATCATTGGAAAAGGAGGTGCCAACATCAAAAAGGTGAGATGATCAGACTGGTTCCTCTGACATTAAATGTCAGTTCCCTTAGCTCTTTCTCTTTCTGCTTTCGCTTGGTTCCACATGCTCATCAATAAAATGCAGTTTACCTCCCAGAATGTCCTCTGGCACAGGCCATATCCTATAATGTATTTGTTGCAGATCCGTGAGGAAAGTAACACCAAGATTGATCTTCCGGCGGAGAACAGCAACTCGGAAACAATTGTCATCACGGGCAAGAGAGCAAACTGTGAAGCTGCTCGCCACAGGATCCTTGCCATCCAAAAAGAGCTGGTAACTGGGGTCCTTACTTCTTACTGCAGGTGTTAAAATGGGTCATGAGCACTCAACAAAACCTAGGAGACTCCAGGAGAACCAGGTGCATAAAAACAAAAGGATTATGAAGAAGGGCCCTAGAGACTTAATTGCTCTAAAATTTTGTTTAGCTCATGGTTTGAATCTTGGGAGAGAACTGGGGAGTATTTACCTAAGAGACCAGGTTCTCACTAATGGTTCTTGTCTTAGATCTGACTATTTTTGGCATCCTCTTTAGGAGGGTCTTTATATCTATCTTGGCAAGATGGAAATCTTGAGTACAAACTTCTAAAATAGCAGTTAGACTAAGGGAAACTGTGCATCGACTGAATTCCAGAAAAGTAAAACTGTTTGACCAGTGAGGACATTCTGCTGTGTGAACATACTCAGGATTTCAATAAGGCTAGCACCCTACTACTGAGGTTGCTTTACTTTGAAACCACCTTCTCCAGATAATTATCAGGATGATTAAAAATGGGGCACTCAAAGCCTAGTAAGATATATCAAGGTGTTATCAGGAGCCTGCCTAGGCAAGATAAGTCCGGTACATTCTCGTGTTCAGCACTTCTGCTGTGGCTGCTGTTCCCTATACTGAGGCTTTCATGCATTCCCGTTAAGACTTCTGATGAGAATCTCTGTATTTGCAAGTTGATTTGTACTCTTTTCAGATGATGAAATGCACTAAATTCCCTTGTTCCTAAACTGTTCCCATGACATGGGAGGTAATGCTTTCTCAGCACGGTAAAGGGCAGAGGGAGACTGGCATGTGCTGGCTCACACAGCATCTGCTTGGCAGATATCCAAGTTGCTTTCTGCTCAGATTTACTTTTAATAAGTAGCTTTGTGAACATCTCCCAGTGGCCTCCATGCCTGCTGGGAGATGAGCTGAGGAGACAAACAGGCTCTGTCTTTGTCTCTCTCCATCCCCAGCAGTCTCCTCCAGCAACTTGCCAAGCAGTGTGACCTTAATTACCTGATGCTGTCTCCTCCTAGGCCAACATTACAGAAGTGGAGGTCTCCATCCCTTCCAAGCTGCACAACTCGCTCATTGGTGCCAAAGGCCGCTTTATCCGTTCCATCATGGAGGAGTGTGGTGGAGTCCACATCCACTTCCCTACTGAGGGCTCTGGCAGTGACACTGTGACCATCAGGGGCCCTGCCCAAGATGTGGAGAAGGCCAAGAAACAGCTGCTGCACCTGGCAGAGGAGAAGGTGAGGCCTGCCTTACAGGAGTGGATCAGATCCTTCTGCATGGTTATTTCTTCTTAGTGTGTTGCTTTTCCCCTCTGGCTTCCCATGGGAAGTGCTGGAAGGTATGAACAGTGCAAGAGTATCGAGTCCTTAGTCATTCTGGAAATGGATAATTCGGTGAACTGAGTGCTCTTACTAGCTCCCTTTATTTTGATCTGGCTCTTGCTCAAGCATGGTTCTCTTATTTCAGAATGAAGAAACAGAAATGTTAACTTCCTCTTGCAATTTGAAATATTGGTGTCCCTTGGTATAACTGGATGTAATTAAGGTCTCCAGTTGAAGGACTCTGACATACAGGATGGACACTTAATAACAAAAATATCTCCAGGAAAGGCTTATGGATCAGATCAGCTCAGCTCATCTTCTTCTTTATATTCTGGTTCATATCAGCTGTAAAACAGCAAGTTGGAGTCTGAAGGGACATGATCTTGCCCTGCAGGGGACTTGCCTCTTGTGCATAAGTGTTCCCTGGAGCTCTCCAATTTTCATCAATACCCTTGCTTAATGTTCTTGCAAGGTCATGTTGCAGCAAAGAAACATTTGAGTTGTTGCCTTTCAGCCTAGTCATACCTCTTATGATACCATATTTGCTTCTAGTTTTGCTTCAGCTCCAAAAGCTTGAATTTCTGAGTTATTGGGCACTTGTCCCTCTCAACAGACATGCATGTACCGTGCTTATCCTGAAAAGTCTGCATGTTCCTGAGGTGTGTTAAATGGTATATTCGCATATGTTTGAGTATTCATACATGCTCTGTTCTCTGCGGGGGGGGCTTTGTTTCTGTGCAGCAAACAAAGAGCTACACCGTGGACCTTCGTGCCAAGCCAGAGTATCACAAGTTCCTGATAGGCAAAGGTGGTGGCAACATCCGGAAGGTGCGTGATAACACAGGGGCCCGTATCATCTTCCCCACCTCTGAAGACAAAGATCAGGAGCTCATCACCATCATGGGGACTGAGGAGGCTGTCAAGGAAGCTCAGAAAGAATTGGAGACACTCATCAAAAACCTGGTGAGGAAGGAACTCTGTCTCTCCTTCCCTCATGCTCCTTTATGGTGAAGGAGGAATTACTTGGCATCTGCCATCACTGAACTAGCTAGCTGGTTTGGAGTCAGGACAGAACCTCTATAGGGTGGGGTCTTTTGGAGATTATGAATGGGACCTGGTTAAAGGCTCTTTTTAAACCCAGAAGTGGAGTGTAGTAAGCATGCATGGCTGTTCTGTGTCCCCTTTGTCTGCAGGATAACGTGGTTGAGGACTCCATGATGGTGGACCCCAAACACCACCGCCACTTTGTCATTCGCAGAGGGCAGGTCCTGCGTGAGATTGCTGATGAGTATGGTGGTGTGATGGTCAGTTTCCCCCGCTCTGGAACCCAGAGTGACAAGGTTACCCTTAAAGGAGCAAAGGATTGCGTGGAAGCAGCCAAGAAGCGCATCCAGGAGATCATCGAGGACCTGGTACTTGTCTGTTAGGCATAGCTTAGGCTTGCCTCAGGAGGGAGCCACTTAACAGCTCTTCCTTGCTTTAATTGCTTCTCCTCTTTGCCTCTAAACCTCCCCTTTCTAATAAGTAGTCTCGATTTTCATACAGTCTTACAGGCCTGAGGAGCAGCAGGTTCATGTTCACTACTATAGCTCCTATGTCCTATCTGGGCTGCCTTGTCTGGTACTGTTTGTGACCAGGCTTTAGGCTGACTTGGTCCTAGTCTGGGAAAGCTGCCTCTGCTGGGAGTTGAGTTCCCTTTGAATCCCTAACCCAGGCTTTTTCCAGGAGGTAGCATGGGATGGGGTAGTTTTGTCTGCCTTAGTGATACTAAAATTGGGACGGTCCTCCCCATGCCACTTCACTTGAGGTCCCAGCAGAAATTCATAGTTTCATAGTTAGTAGGGTCAGAAGGGACCTGAGCAGATCATCAAGTCCGACCCCCTGCCATGGCAGAAAAGAGTTATTCCTAGTCACTCCTGGTAGTGCTTGGGGGAACAGGTACTCCCCCAATGCCTGCTGGTCCCCTCTGACTAGTTTGTAACAGGCCACTAGATCCCCCCTCAGCCTTCTCCTGTGGAGGCTGAACAGGTTCAGGTCCCTTAGACTTTCCTCATAGGGCCTTCCCTGCTGCCCCCTGATCATGTGAGTGGCCCTCCTCTGGACCCTCTCCATGTTGTCCACATCCCTCCTTGGAGTGCGGTGCCCAGAACTGGACGCAGTACTCCAACTGCAGCCTGACCAGTGCTGCATAGAGGGGGAGGTGCATCACCTTGCACTTGTCAGTGTTGAATCCCATCCTATTCTCATCCGCCCACCCCTGTAACCTGTCTAGGTCAGATTGTAGCCTATTCCTTCCTTCTAGCGTGCCCACATCCCCCCACATCTTAGTGTCATCGGCAAATTTGAACAGGGTGCTTTTTACCCCCTCGTCCAAGTCACTGATGAAGATTTGAATAGTGCGGGCCTAAGGACTGAGCCCTGCGGAACCCCACTGCCCACATCCCTCCAGGTCGAAAATGACCTGTCCACCACCACTCTGGGTGTGACCCTCCAGCCAGTTGGCAACCCATTTGACTGTGTAGGTGTTGACACCACAGTCCCCCAGTTTTTTAATGAGAACGGGGTGAGAGACAGACTACGTCCACTGCTACCCCTGCATCTAATGATTTGGTGAACTGGTTGTAGAAGGCAGCCAAGTTGGTTTGACAGGACCTGCCTCTAATGAACCCGTATTGGTTGCCCCTAAGTGTAATCTCCCTTGCTGGCCCCTTGTGGGCATATGCCAGAATAATTCTCTCAAAAAAGCTTACCCAGGATTTGAGGTAAGACTGCCTGGCCTATAGTTTCCCGGGTCTTCCTTCCTCCCTTTTTTTGAAGAAGGGAACCACATTGGCCCTCTTCCAGTCCTCTGGCACCACACCAGAGCACCACAAGTGCTCATAAAGCTGTGAAATGTGGACGTTAATCCCAGTTCACACCATGCTGTTTAGCCCCATGGTTTCCTGGGGGTGGGGATAGAATTTGTACCTCTTGCTGTCCTTTGTTAAAGGTCAGCTTTATCGTGTTCTCAGCTCAGTAATGTACTTGGGGTCTCGTGACTCTGTCCCTATCCTGGTCTAAGGTGCATGGAGCCCTTTTAGCACTGGGTGCAGTTGGGGTTTTCTTTCCTCCAGAAGTGTCCAGTCATGTCAATGGGGACTCTTGGAGCAGACCAGCAGTTAATGCCTCTGCTCTTCCTCTGGTCTCCTTAGACTGTTACTGTTCAACCCTACTGGGCAGCAATCTTGAGAGGAGCATGGGCACAAGAAGCTTTTATTGAGGTCTCTAACTTCTAATGGGGGGTGCAGCTTTAGATTTCGAAGGCTAGCCTTCTGCCACTGAAATGAGGATTTTGACACTCTTGGGAAGAAGAGTTGTTGCTGTGCACTGTGGCCCCCTCTGACAGCTTTGTCCATATAGACTTTGTCTGGTGGCAAGTGTTTGCCTACTGTGTGTTGACCAAGCAAGAAGGTGGGCAGTATAACAGGACAGCCTGGGTCATTCAGGCTCTTCCTCTTTCATCTGCTCAGGAAGCTCAGGTGACAACTGAGTGTGCCATCCCCCAGAAGTTTCATCGCTCCATCATGGGCCCCAAAGGCTCCCGGATTCAGCAGATCACTCGGGACTACGGTGTTCAGATCAAGTTCCCTGACAGGGAAGAAAACCCAGGTATGGGGTTGGGAGAAAAGTGGTAGGTTATGTACCAGGAGGAGGTGGTGGGATGAGCACAGTATGATATTGGGTTGGTCTGTTAAATAAAAAATTAGGCCAGGTGGAATTTGAGATGGTTTTTCTAGGTGCCAGATCTTAGGGGGGAAAATCTTGTTTCAGAGGAGCAGAAGCGGGCTACAAACAGAGCTTGTACTGTGTTGGCTGTAATGACTGATGTGCAGAAAGAACTCATCTTGGGCTAGGGAGGATCTGGTCTGGGCAGGTCATGGCAGGTTTGTTGGCGAAGGCTGTCCAAACGCAACTTCCAATCCAGGATGGAGCTGAGGCAGAGGTTGTGCTCTCTGGAGACAGCTTCATGTACATCAGTAGGGCAGCCTGCAGGAGCTTGATGTGGTGGATGTCCTTCCTGTGCTTGGAACTGGGAGTCCTGGGGTTTTACTGAGCAAGGTGGAAGACGTATGCTGTTGTGTGTGGGAGGAATGCCAATGGCATAAGCAGTTGAGTGCGGAATCCTGTGTCACATCCTTAGCCCCTGCCACAGAGCCAGCTGTGCAGGAGAATGGAGAGGAGGGTGGAGAGGGCAAGGAGGCGGACCTCAGCTCGCCAAAGAAGTGTGACATCATCATCATCTCTGGCCGCAGAGAGAAGTGCGAAGCAGCAAGAGAGGCTCTGCAGGTATGTGATATTGCTGGTTCTGGCTGGAGTCCTACTGTTCCTCTAACCTGCTTGTGCCTGGAAGCAGGAGACTTTGACTGGCAGAAGTCTGAGAGGCCGTAACCACACAGGCGTGCTTTTGGGGCTGTGTGGTCAACTGTATAGCAGGCAGGGAGGGGCAGTTAAACTCCACCTTCAGATGTGGATTTCTTGGACTGATGGGTCTGGAGAAGGGTGCCAGTTGACCCTGTATAACTGTGAAGCTATAAAGAGCCCAAACACTAGTGAGTTCTTGAGCCATGGGGTTTTACTACCAGACTTGTGAGGGCAGTCTAGGCACATCAGTCAAGCTGTGCTTGCTGTTCTTAGGCTGAAGTGTTCTAGCTTGCCCCATTTGTTAGACTGAAGTTCTTGCCTTCACTGGGGAGTCTTTTTGGTCCCCTTGTTTAGCAGTGGGTTTATACTGTTTGGTCCGTGGCTTTTTTGCAGGGTTTTGCCGAGTGTTTCTCTCTGGTAACCGCTGTGGTCTTCCTTTTGCCCCTGCAGGCTCTGGTTCCCGTCACCATTGAGGTGGAAGTGCCCTTCGATCTGCATCGTTACATCATAGGTCAGAAAGGAAGTGGAATCCGTAAGATGATGGATGAGTTTGAAGTAAGCCGGGTTTTATTCCTATCCCTCCTGGTTGTCAGACTTGCCCCTAGCAGACATTGGTGTGTTGGACTGACAGGACTTGTACACAACAGTGATTACTTGGAAGCCACAAGAACATTAATGTAATGTTTGCCCTTTCCTAGCCCTGAGTACCAGATGCTGTGCTCTAGTTCTGGCAGGGATCAAAGCTGGATATTGGGGCTTTCGTGTCTGGTTCAGCATCACTCAAGAATATGACTTGGCACCAGCACCAGTAGTGATTATGTACACCCTTCTGGCATGTACAGTGGGTCAAGTTAGCTGCTGTGGGTGGAGGTGGGACACTTTCTGAGGCACCCAGTGCTGGAAACCAGGCTGGGTGGATCAGGGGGTTGATTCTCTCTAATAGTGGCCATTGGGCTGTGCTGCTCTAAGGCCCTTAGGCTGATGCAACATGGCAAGGGTAGCACAGCCCAAAGGCATTGACAGGAGGTTGGCTTTGGTTCTTTCAGGCTGGGCTACTGGCAGTGTCATGCACTGAACACTGATCTTGAGCTGATATGCTGTCTTGCTGTGAGGTAGCAGTGACTGTAGGTGTATGTCATTTTTAGGTGAACATCCAGGTCCCTGCCCCCGAGCTTCAATCTGACATCATCACAATCACTGGTCTGGCTGTGAACCTGGATCGTGCTAAGGTGGGGCTGCTGGAGCGAGTGAAGGAGCTACAGGCAGAGCAAGAAGATCGGGTAAGCTTGCCTACCTGCCTGGGTTGTCCACATCCAGTCAGGGCTGTCTGGGAGCTGGCTGAAGGAGGCAGTTCCTCGAGGAGTAGATAAGCCATGTAAACAACTGTGGTCTGGGATTTGAGCATTTCTCGAGTAGCCTGATTTTGGAGAAAGCAGGGCACGACTGATCTCCAAGCTCCACACTCTCCCCTGCCCTCCCCACACCCATATGCCTCTAGTGACCTATGGACAATCCAGTCTGAGCATAGACAGTGACATGACCATGGGCTTCAGTCATCTGAAGATTTCCTGCTTGTTCAGAGGAAAATGGAGACACTAAGTGGAGTTGGGATCTTCAGGATTATCCAAGCACGCCTTCCACAAAGCAGAACCTGCTGCAGAATGTATGGTGTCCATTGGCGCTTGTTGGGAGTCTTCCTGCTGGCTTCGTTGAAGTTGGAATTTTGTGTAGAAACTGTTGCCCCATCCCTTCTCCCCATCCTTGCCCATACATGTAGGATGCAGCGTATCAATTCCCTTTGGTTCCTCTGCCCCCCAACTCCCAGAAAAGCAGTGGCTTGGCTGCCGTGTAGGCCTTAGGCAGATGCATGTGGCTCCAAGGGCCACTATCTTTAGGCAGGGTTCCCATAGTAGCCCAAGTGGGACAGTTCTGGACATGTTGTGGGTAAGCAGGGTAGTCCCCCTGAATTGACCTAAGTGTATGATGTCCCCTGATGTGGGGGTGGAGGCCTGATGCCCTTTAACTGGATAAAATGCTGGAGGGTTTGTTTATCTTATTACAGGCCTTGCGAAGCTTCAAGCTGACAGTCACTGTGGACCCCAAGTACCACCCAAAGATCATTGGAAGGAAGGGGGCAGTGATCACCCAGATCCGCACTGAGCACGAGGTCAACATTCAGTTTCCAGATAAGGATGATGACAACCAGGTGAGGACTGAAGGAGGCAAAAGACCTCCTGGAGCTGTGGCTGCAGACCTGTATACCACAATCTTCCCTGCTGCTGCTCGCTGCAGGAAGTGCTGGTAAAGGTGACAACAATCCTACAACAGGCCTGCCTTGGTCTTACTGACTTTGTTCTAACTTCCTGTGAGCCTACCTGGGGAGCCCAGTGGGATGAGCCTCCTATAACACTTGCTTTCTGCTCACTGATCTCTTGCTCAGAGGTTTGGGGTGGGGATGGGGGGGAGGTTCTGTTCCCTCCACATGTATTGATGTCCTCCATGTATGTCTTGCAGGCCCAGGATCAGATCACCATAACAGGCTATGAGAAAAACACAGAGGCTGCCCGAGATGCCATCATGAAGATTGTAGGTGAACTGGAGCAGATGGTCTCTGAGGATGTTACCTTGGACCATCGTGTCCATGCCCGCATCATTGGAGCCCGTGGCAAAGCCATCCGCAAGATCATGGATGAGTTCAAGGTGAGCCACTGCTGAGGAGGATGGTGGAGCTGAGCTGGCTTGTAATGGACTGCAGCTGCTGGCCCTCCTGCTTCCCCTCCTGCACGATCTCTGCAGAACTTGACTCACAGCATCTGAGTCAGTTCCTTTCTGGATCTGGGGCAAAGCATGTAACTGGGGCCCTAAATGCAGGAAGAGGAAGTTCTTTCCACTGAGTGTCTAGCAGCTGTGGGCTGGATGTGTTTTAATCACACATAGCCCCTGAAACCTTGCCTCTGCTCCTCCCAGCCTGAGGAGATGCTAGCAGTGGCTTGAAAGGGAGGATAAGATCACTGAGAATGCTTTGGGTAGCAGCTTTTCCTCCTCCCTTCCCACCCCCCGCCCCCATCTGCTTGCTGCCACAGCAGCTGCTTGAAACACGAGGAGTGGCTGTGGTCACCTACTCAGGCTGCTATGATCCTTGAACAGACACCTGTGATGAGAAGGGAGATCTTTGCCCAGGATGGGCACCATGGACTGGCTCTCCTGGTACTACACTATTGCACAGCTCTGGACATGGAGGGGATGGCAGCAATTTCTGGAGAACTTTGTTACTTATGGCCTCCAAATTTCTTGGATTCTGTTCTGGGAGTTTTTCTGCTCCAGATCACCACTCCCCCAAGTGGGTCAGCCAGAGGGTTTGGTGTGATCCATTGTCAAATTGATCCTCTCTAGGGCAGTGCTAGACTAACCACGTAACACCAGAGCAAGGGCCCTCAGGGAGGGGCTCTAAAGCTGGTGGGATGTGGGTAAAAACCTTTGCTGTCCTGTGTTCCAGGTGGATATCCGCTTCCCGCAGAGTGGGGCTCCTGATCCCAATTGTGTGACTGTGACAGGGCTCCCTGAAAATGTGGAAGAAGCAATTGATCACATCTTGAACTTGGAAGAAGAATATGTAAGTGATGGGGGAAGTGAGGGCTAAGGGACTGGTCTCTGAACTGGCTTTAGCCTGGCATACTTCCTTGATAGCAAGGAGCACAAGCATTGTCAGTAGGCCTAAACTCCAGCTCTCCTCGTCTTGTTTGCAGTGAGCCCAAGCTAGCACCACTGGGAAGTTAAAGGGTAGATGGGTCCATCGTAGACTTACTATACACAGCCCTGGATGTTTAAATGGTTCTCTGGCCTCCTCTCTTGGGGAGGTGGAAAAGAAGGGTTTCACCATCTCCTACTCCAGCATTAGCCCAGACTTCTTGCATACAGTCTCTACATATGGCAAGTTCAGCTGTTTTTCTCTAACTTGCCCAAGGAAGCTGAGAGCCAGAGGTGAGTGGGTGGGCATTTGAGCCCAAGCCCAGTGGCAAGCTTCTGGAATGGAGACCAAATGTGAGGGAGGTAAACTACTGAAGTCTGGCAGAGGCCTTTTGGATGTGTATATGGCATGCCAGCAGTAGTAGAACTAGGGGTAGGGGCAGGGAAAGGAGACTGCATTGTTGTGATTGGGGAAACACTGTTTGTCATCACAAGCAGCAAGGATAATGTGGAGCCTCCTACTGAGCTTTGGCTTCTAATGCTAACTTGTGTAGTGAGAGCTAGATCTGGGCACATGGCAGGGTTGTGCTTAACAGGGCTGTATCCTGTGCCTGCAGCTGGCTGACGTGGTGGACAATGAGGCAATGCAGGTGTACATGAAGCCCTCTGCCCATGAGGAGTCCAAGGCCCCATCCAAGGGATTTGTGGTGAGAGATGCCCCATGGGCAACTGTCAACACGGAGAAGGTGAGTGCTGATGCTGACACCCTTGCGGGGAGGTGTCTGGCTGCAGATTGTGCCTGCGAGGGGGAGGCAGGCAGAATGAGCCACTAGTTGCTCAAAGTAGGAACAGCCCATTAAAACAGGCTCTCCTTCCTCTCGACTTCCTGAGCCTTTCCCTCTGGACCTGCCTTGCTGGTGTCACTTGTCCACTCCTCCCTGCCTGAGAAGGAAGCAGGAGGCTGGCTTCCAGATATTTTGGCCTCTTGTTGTCCTGTCCTGTCCCGTCTCCTTGGCAGGGAACACTAGGGATCATCCTGGTGCTCTTTAGTGAGCAGCAAGCCTGACACTCCGCTTCATGACCCCTTGGCTTATCAGCCATGGTTTTTCTGCAAAGAGCCTGGTCATTGGACAGGGTTGGGAAGGCGTACTGAGCTGGGACTCCCAAGACGCTTCCCTTGGCCAGCTCTTTACCAGTTATGTAGACTTGGCAAGGCCTCTGTCGACTCCAAAGATATCCAAGGGCACGTGACATGAGGGCCAGCAAAAGCTTCTGACCTAATCTGTGTGCACCAGCGGGGGGGCACGGAAGCATCAGCAACTTAGCAGAAAGGCTCTGTAGAACTGTCAGTGGAGACAGCACAGCTTGAGCACTTCCTTGACAAGGCAGTCTGACCAGGTGGGAGTTGCCACTTGGCCCAACTCCCTGCAGAACCAGATCTCCAGGCTGTTAATAACTGATCAAAGCCTGCCAGGTTGTGGTGCTCTTGTAGCCTTTCTGTAACAAGCCTGCTGGCTCACTGATCCAAAATAAACCCTTTCTGGGCTCTCTTGTCTTTCCTACCCTTTCCAGAGCATGACTGTCCCTCTGTTCCCTTCCCCATGTGACCTGGCACCACCCATTCTGTTGGTTGATGCATGCATTGCTGTTGTGTGGGTGCTGCGCTTGGCTGCTGTATAAAAACTACAGACTGATTACCTTTTTTAACCTATGTTCGTTCTGTTTTTTGCTCTAGGCCCCTGACATGAGCAGTTCTGAAGATTTCCCCAGTTTTGGGGCTCAAGTGGCCCCCAAGACTCTTCCCTGGGGACCCAAACGATAATGACCTGGAAGCAGAAACATCTCCTCCAGCCTGCTGACCTGACACTAATCTGCCACAAAATACTTCCTGTCTGAATTCTGATGCAGCGGCTGGAGTATAAATCAATTGCCCTAAGAGGTCTCCTAATGGTGGCTGGCATGCTAGACCCTGTTCTTCTGTCACAGAGGTTGGGACCTACTCTATAATCTCTTGATGACGGATCCCCCTGCCCCCTTCTTGGAACCAATGGTTCCACTGATGCAAACACTAAATGTGTTCTTTTGTTTTGCTCGAAACTTCACAATTGATTCAGAGATTTGCAGCAGCTTGAGTGCTGACAGAAACCTGACCTCTTGAGCATGTCTTACTAAGGCATTCTAGCCTTCATTGGGAGACCTCCTTTACTGTGGCTAGGAATCTACTTCCTGTCTCATGACCTCAGGAAATAAATTTCCTTGACTTTCTAAAGCCAAAACGTTTGCCCTCTTTCCTTTTGTGTTTTTATCCCCAGCCTTACCTTCTCTTTGTAGAGTGCAATCAACTTTTTTTCCTTTAAACTGCCAAAAAATTCATTGAACGCTGATAGTCAATGTGGGGAGCGCTAAAGTAGTGGAGTGAAGATCAGGCTTCTCTTAAAGGAACAAAAAGTACAGTAGCCTGTAGACACAACTAGAATGGAAGGGACCAGACAGGGATACCCTGCTTGTGTGAACATGCTAATGACTGTACTCACATGCAGCATTGAGCACAGATTCTTGCTTGCACACTTGACAAGTCTTCCAATGTGTGAGTAAAAAACCCCTCCTAGTTCCCGGTGTTCCCCTACTCCAGTGTTCATTCTTCCCAGCAGCAATATGGTGAGGCAGGAGAGCCAGACAGTGACAGTATTACTAGTGTGACAGCACTTGGGTCAGCCAACATGGCCCAGGAGATGCTGTGTGGGGAGTGCCGCACAATCCTTACCCCTGCTGAGGACTGCCAGTATAATGGCAATAAGACAGGAGGAGGAAGAGGGAGGTCTGTTTATTGTTGCCTTCTTTCTACCTCAGAAGCCAGCTTGGTGGTGCTCTCTTGCTTCAAGTAGTCAGCAGTGCTGACTTGCATTATGGTGGCCAGAGCTGATTTTTTTCCCCCCCCTTCTGCCTGTCCCACCTTGCACTTGGCAGTAGAGATCCCAGGAGCAGTCAGTCTGCAACAGTTGGAGCTCCCTGGGGAAGAAGCCGTAGCAGCAGAGCTCTGGTAAGGCACACTGCCCTGCCATTTGCTCTAGATCATGCCCTGAGTTACGAACAGGCCTGGTTTGGAAGGAAGGGGAAGAGAGGCAGGTGCCAGCAGCTGCTCTGACCCGTGGAGGTGAAGTGAGTGGATGTTTTCCCCTTCCTGTTGTCCACATGAAGAGGATATCAGGCTCTGCACCCCAGTAGTTTGGCACACAAAGCTGGTGCCCCTGGGCACACCTATCGCTTGATTTTATATTTAATTATTATTATTTGTTTTGTTTTTTTTAAGGGTCCTGAGTCTAAGGCAGCACAAGGAAAACCTTGTCTTTGTGGAGGGTTGCAGGGGAGTGGGGTCTGAGTTACTTCTCCTTTCCTACCTTGCTCCCACAGAGGCTCTAGTCTGAGCCATTCTTCTGTCTAGCAACTCCAGCTCTAACAAGCAAAGCCCCAATCTCTCTCCCTTAGTGCTGCGTATGGAGCCTGACCTCAGCTCTGGATGGCTGCCCCCACTTTTTGGTTAGGTGTGAGACTCCAAGTGCTAGCACTTCTCTTCCTGGAAGAGCCTCAAACCACACCGTCCTAGTGCTCATGGGCAGCTTGAGGTGTGTGACTGGTGGAACAGGCCTTGTGCCATCTCTCTGAGCAGAGGCAAAGGTAACTTACCCTGTACCCTTCCCAGTGGATGGTTAAAGGGGTGGGTAATGGGACTAGGACAGCACCCCCCTTCCCTCCTTTACATCAGTCTTCTGAACAGGGGTGAACCCCCTGTCCCCATACACATGGCTTAAGTCTCTCCTGGTGTCACCAAGCCTCTCATCTCCCCCAGCCAATATGCACCAATTGCACAGCTAGGCTTGAGTTGCATTCAGGGCACTGTGTGCCCCTGTCCCAGCCCTCCCCTCTAAAAAAGGTCACAATGTGATTGTACCTAATACTGTCTCCCACTGCCCCTCATTCTGCAGCAGACTGTGGCATGTGTTCCATTTCCTCGTCTTCCATATTGTATGTTTCCATGGCAATGATCCCTTGGCCTTAACTTTGGAATTTGGAGACTATATGCAAACATGTACAAAGGCTCATGAGTATGGATGACACTGGAATTTTATAAATTCTAAAATAAAACCTGAAACAGCTTGGAGTGTCTGGAATGTTTCTTCTGGGTGGCTGCAGTGACCTGAGTGCCTGAGTCAAGGCCTTGTGGGAGCCAACAGAGACATGCTGGCCACTAACAGGCCTCTGGTTTTAAGCTTAGGAATCTACCATGAAGTACAGGAAGGTTCTGCCTGCAGTCAGGCATAATCCAAGAGCAACAGTGTGCACAACACAGAGCAGTTACTCAGACAACTACAGCTACCACCAGCACCATGTTCTAATGTGTAATGGAGCATTGCAGCCAGCTGCAGAACACTGTGGTACCAAGGCACAGTAAGGCAACCTCAGCATCCCGTCAGACTTGTTTAGGATGAGTATTCCCCACCTCAGCTGAGTGGTGGGGGGCTACCCTCAATGCAACTGGAGGTATTTCCTTCCTGGCTTTTTTTTCTATGGACCTGGCTGCTGCTGCTTGAGTGACAAGCACCCCAGCTCCACCCTCCCCATAATCTGCTGGGGCAACTTCTCCCTTAATCATCTGCTGTTAAGCTTCCCCTAGTAAAGGTCAATTTAGCTGCCTTAAGTGTAATGCAAGATCCTCCTTGACAAGACTCTTGTCTAAAAATGAGTTACCTTGGAAGGCAGACTGACTATAGCTCTATGCAGAGGGAAGCCCTTGGCCATAAGAACCAAGTACTGTACTTGGGTGACTGCACAAATTAAATAGTGAATGATGGCACTGTTTCATTTCACTTATCCATGTAATTGCCTTTAATTTGCGCTGAAGTCTCACTTCTTGTATAGGTTCTTACTCCTGCTGTCTGCAAAGAACTTCAGCGAACATCCACGTCAAGCTGGGAGAACATCTTCATGCTCTAGAGCTGAATGACTCTTCCCTTTGCAGCTGATGAGGAGTGGCTGTCATTTGTGGGGCCTTGTTTTCTGTTTCAACAAGGCTGCTACAGCAGCTGATCCTCTTGAGTGGGTGATGCTGTAACAGTCTCCCTGCCTTCCCGTAGTTATGCTGCCTCCCAGTCCTTGTTTGCTGCTGTTCTTGTGCTGGATTTGGATAGGCCTCCTTTTGCCTCAAGGAGGACCTACCCCAGGGAAGACATCAGTCAGTAATTTGCATTTTGAGTAGGTTGTTTTACATGGTAGAACTTTGTCTGCTTTGGGGTTCAGAATATTCCTTGATTCCTTGCATTGCAAGGACTATCAGGGATGTATGATACCAGGTGTGGACCTGGAAGTGTATGGCAATGCAGTCATATGCCCACTTTGGCTGTGTGCCCTAGGTAGAGTAAGCTCTGCAAGTGTAGGGGGGCTTCCTGAGGTCCTCACTTTCAAGCAGCACTGGAGGCTTGCTATTTGTGCCTTGCTGCCCCCCTCCCCCCATCCCCTCCTGATTCAGCAGCAAGGGAAGGGAGGGGACAAGTGACAACAGCACCAATACAGGCATACCTCAGAGAGATTGCAGGTTTGGTTCCAGACCACCGCAATAAAGCGAGTCTCATGAATTTTTTGGTTTCCCAGTGCACATAAAAGTTATGTTTACACTATACTGTAGTCTATTAAGTGTGCAATAGCATTATGTCTAGAAAACAATGTAATTAAATTTAATTAAAAAATACTTTATTGCTAAAAAATGCTAACCATCATCTGAGCCTTCAGCAAGTCATAATCTTTTTGCTGGTGGAGGGTCTTGCCTCAATTTGTAAAAAACACAATATCTGTGAAGCGCAATAAAACGAGGTATGCCTGTACTCAGCTGCTGCTTTCACAGAGCCACTTGTCCCCTCCTTTCCCCTACTGCTGAATTCTGGGGGTAGGGCAAGAGCAAACAGAAGCAGGGACTCTGGGCATACTCCATGCCAGTGAGCTCATGGAGTGCTGGCAGGGGCTGCACTGATGTGCAGCTGAGTGCTTGTAGGCATTTGGCACTACAACCAGGGGCTGTGGCTGCACCCACCCAGTCTGCAGTGCTGGAACTAATTATGCAAGAGGAGGTTGGAGTTTCCGGGCTTAGGGTGCAGTGGAACAAGCCTGGGTGTTGGGTTACAACAGGTCTGACATGGGTGGGAAGAGAAAGGACTAATGAATGAACAAATGGGAAGAGCTGCATGCACATGCATCTCCCACAAGCTCTGGAAAACCACCAGGGTGCAAGCTGTCATGTGAGGCTTAGTGCTCCTCCTAGCATCCCCTTCCCCTGACCTGAAGGAAACCTACAGAGCAAAGGCCAGCTCTACCCTGATGTTTACCTGGTTTTCAGCCAGCGCCTGCTTGGCCAGATAACGTTCACGCTTCACCTTGATCTCCACCGACTCTGGGAGGTCAGGAACCATCAGTTCTATCAACCGAGTGATAAAGAAGACCACATGCTGGAAAAGAATGGGGTGTGGGGAACATGAGACCAGAGGAGCAAGAAGGAGCATGGAATTGCCCTGGAAACCTTGCAGAGCCCAGGAGCAGTGGAGAGACTTGAAAAAAGTGGAGTATCCAAGTGGGGGTGGGGGGGAACATCTACCCACATTGGGAATAAGGCAGCAAAGGACTTCAAGTGTCCTGGAGAATCTGAGCAGAGGCATGGAGAACAGGAAGGAGTATGAGACTAACAAGGAGAGGGGCATACCTCAAACACTATGATAAAGCCCAGGCGGATGGCTAGTAGGTTCCAGTGGACGAGTGAGTACTGGCCAGTCGCTTCTCTAAAAGCCCGGTACCTGGGAAGATAGCATCCAGTCACAGCTGGGAAAGAGAAGCCCAATACCTACCTTCACCTGTAGATTAGAGTTTCAACTGCCTCCACTGGCATTTTGACTTGGTCACAAAAGGCAAATTAGTTTGCATATCTGACCATGCATCAGGATTAATTAACAAAGTATCTTGGTATCTTTTCTTCACTAGCCCATGCCCCTCTACATGTATATATCTGTCTCTCCAGGATTGGCACCAGTTCCATCAGCTATATTATGAATGGCTGTCTAGGAACACATTGCCAAGCCCCAAGACCTGGATGGTTTAGCCAGATTCAAAAAGAGGTTGGACAAATTCTTGGAGGAAAGGGGCATTGATGGTTACTGAGCACAGGAGTTAGGGCTACAGCCTCTGAATGAGAACTTCCTAGGCCTCCAATGCTGGAGGCTCCAAGTGGGAAAGAAATGGGGGGGAAAAAAACCTTGGTCATATCCTGTTCGCTCACCCTTTCAGTATCCACTCTGCCACTGAGACATGGGCTCATCTTGTCTAATTTCCTATGTTCTAACCCAATCAATGGCAGTTCTTATATTCTTGTGAGGACACAGATGGGATACATCTTTTTGTCCCAATGAACTGAATTTCTGGGGTTCCTCTCAGCATAGATGGTAGGGGCAGCATTTGCAGTAATCCACCAGAAATATCTTTAATGTCTTTACATGCTCAAATACCCCTATGGGAACTGGGTCCCCTAGACACAGACGTCATTCCCAAGCCCACCTTTTGCTCCCCCAACAATCAAGCATGAGGGAGCACAGAGGGAGAAGGCAGTAGCCATCTGAAAGAGAAAAATCCAAATGTGCACAAACAAGCAGGTGGTGGTGCCTCCCTTAGCAGAGGTGGCTCTTCTGAGAACCCTGGCAGATGTGTTTTACCTGCACGTGATGTTGTACTGGGAGACAAAGGTGTCTGGGGCATATGCCAGGGTGAAGTTAACATAGCCATGGAGGTTGCTGGCATGGGTGTACTGATAATAGAGCCGGGGTAGGAAGTCTGAGGTGAAGGCGATCAGGAAGGCCTGAAAAGAGGAGGGAAACATGATTATGTGGGGTTCTGAGGCCAAGGGGCAGCTTCATATTGTGGAGCCTTGGCCTGTATGTTGTTGCTCTGGAGCCTTGCATGGCTGTAAGGTGCCTGCATGTGGCTCTTGTGGAGACTGTATGTGGCTGAACCTCCTCTCATTTGGGATGAGTACACATGGCGCAAACTCCAGGCAGGTTTCCCTGTGCCTCAACACTATCCCTACAGTCTGCACACCTGCCCTTGGCTACCAACAATGGACCCTTGCAGTGACAACTGCAAACCCTTCAGGCTGACACCTTCCCACCATCCACAGCTGGAACCATTCCTTCTTCAGAGGCAGCCACCTCCTCTAGCACTTCTCATCTGTTTGCTCAACAGCTGTACTCTTCTACAGCTGCAGTTGTGATCACCTCAACAAGAGGGCTGGGGTGGTAACATGGATCCAGGAGCTGGGAGATAGGGAAGGCTGGTTCTTCCACTCTTCTCTAGGTTACTGAGGCAGGGAACTGAAGCAGCACCACAGCTCATGGGTCCATCAGATACAGCAGCAGTTTGCATGCGACTTGTCACAGGCAATACTACATCTACAGCCTGGCACCACCTGGGGTGTGATTTCACCATTGCTTTTTTTTAAGTTTAATCCACTAACAAAGATCAAGGAACATTGAGGATTCACCTGCAGCTTCCAAAGGAAGACCAGACCCCAGATGCCTACCTGAGTGCATCAACTGAATGTCACCCAAACTCTGAGCAGCTGCCTCTGATGGCCAGTTTCTCCCTCCCCCCTGGGCTCCTGCTAGCACCACTCACATTGCTGATGACTGCCAGGTTGGTGATGACCTCCAGGATATAAAACCAGATGCCAATGCCCTGGGCCCGCTCAGCCACAGGGCGCCGGTACTCGCAGACAAACTTCTGTGCATCTACGCGGATCTCCGCCCAGTTGTTGAGCAAGGCAAAGAGGGGTGCCAGGGGGAAGGCAGCCACGAAGATGGTGACAAACCCAAACTGCAGGACTATGAAGTGTGGGTGGAAAAAGACCATCAGGGCACGGGGCAGGGGAAACAGAGTGGGGAAGCAGGTTGATTGCCTACAGCAGTGCTCATGGCATCTCCTCTAACTTCTTGCTACCAAGGGTGCTTTGCTTCCCCCTTCCCTCCTCACCCTCTCTTGCTGTCCAAAGGGCAGACTTGGAAATCCCTGGGAAATACATTCTGATCAAAAGGTCTCTGAGAGCATATTTGCTCCTTGTTCCTGCCTAGAGGCATGCTGGCCTGATTGAAGCCTATGTTGCTTGCTACCCCTGGGCTAAGCCAGCTGGTGCTGACTCACTGCTGCAGCTGGCTCCTTGGGGCACCGGCAAGAAGGGAGGTGAGAGGAGCCTGTGGCAGAGGAAGCTGGAACATGGAGCAGACTGGGCTGGAGGCCAGGGCAAAACCAAGCCTGGGGTGAAGGTTTCCTGTAGAATATTTCTGAGTCTGAAACCAGCTGCAAGGACTGCACAGGAGCAGAGGGGGGAAATGTACTGCAAGAGCTCAGCTTTTGCCAGGGAAGGAGAAGAAATCTGTCGGGGCCCAGGGTTCCCCAGCAAGGGTGGAGCTGTCTCCACCTTCAACTGTCCCAGCAATCTCTGCCTCATCACGCCTTGGACAGAGCATGTCATAGGTGGCATGACTGGGGCCATGGGGCTGAATGTGGGAGAGCTGGGAGACATCCTCAGGACACAGATGATTGTGCCTCCACTAAGTGCCCAGCACAAGGGCCAGGAAGGGTGCTGTGCAGTTGTGTGGCCAACTGCACCCCCCGCCCCACCCCACAAGGAACCTCTGGTTCAGGGAGCCATGGCCCTACTGGGCAAGTCCCTCCCCTGCCCTTACTCCCTACCCATTTCCAGGTACTCATCGAAGAGCCCCTCAGGCACCAACAGCTCACAGTTGCTCTGCCAGGGCGCTGGTGGGACTGGGGCTGAGGAGGCTTCGTTGCTGGTCATCTTGGAGTGAAGATTGTACTTTTGCCACCAGCCTTTCAGCTTCCTGGGGGTTGGGGAGCAGAGGAGGAGAAGCAGTCACGGGCAGGGTATGGCCCCTGCAGACTTGGCTGGAAGCTGCCTGTCTTGTCCTAGGGGCAGTGCTGGGCCCAGGCCTCCAGCTGAATGAGTCTCAGTGGCACTTTCAGATCATAGCTGGGCAAAGGAAGCCCTTGCCAGGGTCTCTGTGCCACAGCTGGAAGGATGCTACCCTCAGTTACCTGCCTGAGGAGTTGGCCTATGTGGGGCAGAAGATCCCGACCCCCACTTGCCAATGTGACTTGTGGGGAATATGTAGGGCTTTGCCCTGATCAAGCCCCTCACCATGCTGATGCCTCAGCACTGAGGTGTCTCACTAGAGTGCGTGTCCCTGCTGCCCCAGCATGGCACCTGGGGCAAAGCTTGGGGTTGTCTGCCAGTACCTCCCTTCAGTGCAATGGTCCATTGCTCCCCTACCTCTGGGTCCCAGCTTCTGACCCCTCCTCCTTCCCCTGGTGCCTTGGCCTTGCTCCTGGCTGTGCTCGGTACTCACGGGAGGACAATTTCCTGCACGTTGTTGATCATCTGTTTTCCTACCATAATGACCAGCAGTTCCTGGGCAAGTTCGATGAGACAACCACCAGGGCCACACTGCATGGGAGGACATGGACTGGTTGGCACCAGAGCAGGGGCTGGAAACTGGGCTCCCCACAGCTTGGGAATGATGTCAGCAGGGGGTTCGGCTGGCTTCATCCCAACATGAACTTCCCCCCTCCCCTGGGAAAAGCCACTTCTGACATGCATGGAGTCATGGCTGGACAGACGCCCTAGTACAAGCCTCCTGTACAGAGGTTATACGTGGCATCGGGGATGTTCACTCAGATGAGCATGGAGACGAGGTGGCAAGAAGCCCTGAGAAGCTGGTCTCAGCACTCAGGCTGGCCATAGGTGCTGCAGGGATCATGGCCAAGTGGACCTGTCTGTAGCTGAGGGGTCTCAGATATTGCTGCTTCCCTCTGGGTAGACAGGCTGCGTCCGGAGGTGGCAGCCACTCAGGTGAGGGGCTGAGCCTGGCTGCCACCACAGCTCCTCACTTTGGCTGCTGTTAGGGCAAGTACAGAAGGACCCCAAGCACTGCCCCCTGTGGGTGGTGGGAAGGGCCCCAGGTTCAGACCCTCCAGTAAAGTGGGCTTCATGTGTACGGCTGCCAGAACGTGCAGAAGGAAGAGGGTACCTAGAGAGCATGTGTGTACCCTTTGCTGGGGTGCCAGGCAGGAGCCCTGCCCTAGTACAAGACCCACCAAAGCCTCCCTTCCTGGCTCTGGGAAGGCCATGGATCAGTGCAGGGATCCAAGAGGTCTGATCCTGCCATAGAGCCATATGTAGAGGCGGGGGAAGTTGGGCAAGAGGGTTCCTGGCACCACAGCAGGGTGCATATTCCACCCTTCCTGTGCTGCTCTTCCTCCCCGAGGCCTTGACCAAGCAGTACCTCCTCATTGCGGACACTGAACAAAGTCCCGTAGTGCCCTGGGTAGCCGACAAACCTGGGAGAATGGGGATGGAAAAAGAGTGGTAAAGCCAGGCCTAACCCCCCTGTTTTCACTTGCCCCAGCCAGCTGGACTGCCTCCCTGGCTGCTCCAGACCCTGGGGCCCTGGCCCATCCCTCAGCCCTGGGCTGAGCAGAACCAGGCTAGGGCTCCCTCATGTTCTCCTGCCTCTGCCACTGCTGGCACCTGTTGCTCTGGTGCCTGAGGCCAGTCCTGCTGCTGCACAGGAATGGAGGCCAGTCCCACATGTTAGGATACCAGCCATGGGGAAGCCAGTATGTACAGTATTTCTCCATAACCTGCACCCCTTCTACCTAACAGAGCAGAAGAAGGGTGCCTCCCTGCCCAGCTCTCTTAACAGGTGGCCTCCAGAGGGTATCCAGGTTGGCACTTCAGTGCTCATCACCTCCAAGGGGGGTTTCAATTAGCCTGTTGTGCACCCTTTTCCTCCCAGTGGCTGGAGCTCAGGAGAGCTATGTGCTACCTCCACCCCCCATCTCTGCTGCTGGCATAGCGGGTGACTCACTTCACTTTCATTTGCCTGTTTCCCCTCAGCCTGTGCCTCTCTTGGCTCTGTAGGCTGTGTGCTCCTTCCTCAGTGTGGGTGCAACACATCATATGACAGGACCCTGCTCTCAGCTTGCCATCTACCCAAAGCACTGCCCAATAGCTACCTCTGACTGGGCACCCACATGGTCAGCTTGACTTCCTGCAGCAGCTGCCACATTCCAGACACAATGCACAGTGGTGTAGTGGGGACCATGGCTGTCCCCAGAAGAAGCCTGTTTGAGGCGTGGGACTCCAGCAAGGGCATGAGCATTTCTATGTGCTTGTTACATTGCTTGAGACACAGCCCTCCTGGATAGGAGATTCCACAACCTAAATGCAGGCTATATGGTCACCCCACTCTCTGACATGTTTCCTTAAGACTGAGAAGGACACAGGGCTGCATAGTGATCCACTGAGCATAGAAGCCCGACTCCCAGTTTTTCCTAGGGCTCCAAGGCTTCTATGGGAACCCTCAATGCTGCATAGTGCCTCTGGGTGGCAGCAGTGCTTCAGGTTGCCTGTCACCCCTTTGACATCAAGCTTCAGAGACAAGTCACCAAAGGCAAGTGCCACAGGGAGGAACTTCAGAGTCCCCTGAAGCAGGAGCTGGGGAAGGTCCCTGCTGCATGGATGGAGCTGCCCTCCCCCAGAGACACCTCACCTGCCCTTGAAGAAGGCAATGTATATGGGAGAAGAGTAGAAATTGACAAACTGGAAGATGAACACTTTGAAGGTGAAAGCATCTTCGAACTTGGACTGTGTCCGGTGCATCTCTGTGACAAGGCAAACACACACAGAGCAGCTGTCAGGCACCCACACTACTGGGGCAACACTTAAATAGGGCAGGAGTGTTTCCCTGCTGTTCACTAATGATGGATGTGGGCAGACAAAACACTTATAACCAGGGTAACCAGCAACTACACTTGCTCGCTGCACACTCCTGCACTGGAATGAACTTCACCTAATCCAGTGGCAAATCCCCCCAGAAAGGACTGGGGGTAAAACTGTCTATGCTATCTGCACACTTCCATCCTAGGATAAATGTTTGTTAAAGCCAGTTGCTCATTGCCAGCTCCCCTGCTGCCAAGGGACAAGACACAGTACTAGCACCCCCCTGCCCAAGACAGCTGACTGCCTGCACGTTTTTCAGCTAGCGACACTTGCATTGATGTGCAACTCTGACAAAGTGCATGGCAAGGAAAAAGCAGTCAGTAAGCCTCAGTCACTTCCAGGTCCCCTACACGTACAACCCTGACCCTGCCAGAAGTAGGACTGCCACACTTCATGTTTTACCCTACACACTGTCTAGCTTGTGGGAGGCAGGATAGCACTGTCTAAAATAACCATTGTCCCAATATTTTCCCTTGATCACCTGCACTTATTCTCCACTCTGGTACTCCACTCTCCTTTTCCCTCAGCACTTCCACTCCTTTCACAGCTCCTGCCTCTTGGTCTTTCTCCTTTTCTCCCCACTCATGTCTTTCAAGAAGCTTCTGTTTTATGGAGTAAGCAGCAGGCTGGAGATGAAAGCTCATCTCCCCACCCCCTTATCCCTGGCAGGCACTCATGCCTCAGTAAGGACAGCAGGCTTTTGCAGCCTGGGCCCAAGTGGGGGCCCAGAGCTCTGTCGTTCCCAGGGGCAGCTAGTTTCTCTCACAGGGATGCTTCAGAGCAGCCCTCAGGCTACTTCTCTCCCAGGAACCCAGTGCTTCTCCCAAAGAACCTTTCCATCCTGGTGGAGAGTCTCTCTTCCTTCCCTTCTTCCCCACAGCCAGCAAGCTGTGCAGGAGCCTGTGGCTCCAGGACACAAGACATAAGGGAGCAGGACATCAGACCGAGTAGGGAAAAATAGCTGAAGAATTTGTGCAACTTCCCCTGTAGCTCAATTCTATCACTTACCCCACTTGGTCAGGAAATGGGCCAGTGCAATGTAAATTTTGGAGAGCATGAGGATGAAAATGAGATTCACTACTGAGCCCGTGAGGCTGGCAATGCGTGATGCCTAAAGGAAACAAACAGAGTAGAAGACAGTGAAGCATAAAACTCAAGAGACTCTAGCGAGTCTACTAGACCCATGGGTGGTACTGGAAGGGGATAGGGTGGTCCTCCATCTTACTGACGCCACGAAGCGGAAGTCCCTAGAACTGGCGACCAGGAGGCTGATGATGGCCCGGTAGAGGATGATGGAGATGAGGAACATAACCACCACTGAAATCTGCAAACACAACCATGGCAAGGAGCTGACCCAACTGCTCCATTATTACCCCTGTGGACATTCCTGGCTATAGGGAAACTCCATCCTACTGGCAGAAGTTACAGAGCTATAGGAGCAGCCAGAAGCAAACTAGGCAGCAGAGAGGAGGCCCAGGCATACATTGAGCCACTGTGCTCTGTACAAGGCCCATCATACCCTTACCATCATGATGATGACCATTGATCCAGCTAGGATGCGATGGATCTGGTTCCGCTTAGGGAAATAGGGCTCCTCCACCCCAGTGATAGGGTTCCTCATCGTCATGGGGGCCATGGCAACAAACTCAGGGCGCGGCCGTTCCTAGGGCAGAGGGAAAAGGCATCATCATGGCTTTGCTTCACTAGGCCTCAGCAGTTTGGCTGTCACATAGGGCCTGTACCTCAATGTCCTCAAAGTCGGAGCAGTCCCAGCGGTGTGCCAGGGTGGCATTCATCCGCTTCCAGTACTCCAAGAACATCACTGCCCACAGGGTCATAAAGATGCTGAAGAAAATGGTCCCACCATGGTCGAAAAGCCGGCCAGCCTGTAGAGAGGAGTGAGCAGATGAGAGTGAGGGGACTGGCTGGAGGGAGGGGAAGCTGACTCATCCCACTGTGGGAGAGGAGACCCTGTGCAGGGAGCAGTAGGATTGGATTCAACAGCTCTACACCATTCACATCCACAGAGGGGCTGCCCAAAGCAGATTTGCTGTGGGTACAGCAGTGGTAGCCTCATAGTCCCCAACTCCCTGTAGCATAAGAGCTTGTAGCCACTCTGAGCAGCAGGGAGACTGGCTGGGCAAAGAAGGGTACCTCAGCACAGTGACAAGCAACAGTCCCACTGCACTGTGAACCAGCTATGCAGCCCTAAGTGCCTCACATATGCCCACAGGAGCACTTTCTGGACTCCGTGCTGTTGCTCTACCCCATGTGCAAGACAGAACCAACCAGGAGGCACCAATGTAACCACCACAGAGAGACCCACGTGCTGTTGGCTATATCAGTCTATGCAAAGACAGAACAAAGATGGAAGGAACTGGCTAGCAACTAAATGAGGGGAAAGTGGAGTAGGGGCTTGGGGGTGGGAATTAGGGGAGCACCAGCAAAGCAGAGGGCCAGGAACAGATGCAATAGAGCACAGAAGGATGAGGGCAAGAGGAACTGGCAATGGAGCAGGATGAGTGGCAGGGAGGAGTGACTGGGAGAAGGTGGCTTCCTTCCTGGGGCACATTCCTGTGCTGGGAAGTTTCCTCTAGTGGCAAAGGGAGGAGCAGACCAGTGCCTAAGGCTTGTACTAACAGCTCAGTGACCACCCCTCCCCCTGTGCTCCCAGTCAGGCTGGGATGGTCCTGGTGCAGGACCAAGGGCCCAGCACACACAAACTCTTGGTGGGAAACTCCTTAGACCTGGCCCCACAGTGAGATGGACCCAGCTGAGCCCTGGCTCTCACCATGAACATGCTGCAGATGCTGGAGAGCAGCCAGTAGGGGCACTTCTTACAGAGTGGGCACATCTGGAACTGATCCTCACTTTCACAGATCTCTTGCCTGCCAGGGACCAAGAACAGGACAGGAATCAGTGCCAGGTCACAGTCACTATCCCAGGCCTCACCAGCATCTCCACTCACTGCTGATGGGGGCTACTTGCCCAGCCCTGGGGCCTCATTCCTCCCTATGAGGACAGGCAAAGACTCTGTGAGAGCCCATCACTGCAGCTCCTTCCAGGGGGACCCCTGGGGGGCAAAGCCCTGAGCACATGGCTCTCTGCAGCTCCCTCAAAGACAAGGGAACAAAGCTGGGAATCCCACCAGGTAGCACAGAGCAGTAGCCCTTTGGAGCCTGCCCGAATTGAAGTCTTCCACAGGATGGCTCTGTTCCCTCAGTGCAAACAGTTTCCTCTCGTTAAACCCCTGCCACAGCTGTCTGTGAAAAGCACTTTGGTTTGATGATGTGCAAGAGTCACACAGGGCCTGGACTGGCCACAGAGGATGTAGCTAAGATCTCTGGCCCTGAATAGCAGTTTACCCATAATGCTCCTGGTTGGAGAAGGCCAGCAGGAAGGGATGGGAGAGGGGCAGACAGGGAGGTGGGCACTTACGAAGGTACGTCATCAAACATCATGAAAACACCCATTATGAAGACCAGGGTGCCCACAACTGCTGCAGGCAAGAGCCAGCCAGTGTAGAAACCTGAAGAGAAAGGGAAGAGAGAGCAAGACCTCCTTGACGTTGGAGTCTCACTGCAAATACAGGGCTTGGGGGGTGTTTCCCTCTTGTAGGAGCCACTATGTCTCTGGCTGAGGAGAATTGGCTGAAATCTTGGTCACACAGCAAGCATTAGTGACAGGCAGCACAAACTGAGACCAAGATCTTGTATTTTTGTGCCCCTCTGTCTCAGAACTACTTGGTGTTCATTGGGTGTGCTCTCATCTCTGGTTCTTAAACTGCTCCTTTCCCCTCTCACTTCTCTCTCCTCCCATACCTCTTCTGAGAGAAGCCCGAAGGCCATGAAATCACAACTGGGCTACATGGGGTGAGTTCTTCAGGCTCCAGGGAATGGGGTAGTTGTCACTGGGCTTCTGTACTGGCATAGCCCAGGGCTCAGGTAGGGTGTGGGGAGCACCGCAGGGAGTGCTGTTCTCACCTAGCCAGGCAAAGTAGAACGCAATCTTCTCGCCGAAGTACTGGCGGATGTGATCCAATGGCTGGTACTTGTTCCAATTTCTCCAGCAAGCCCAGTGCTGGAAGAGGATCTGCCGCTGATTCAGAGTGTTGGCGTCCAGCCCCTCTGGTGGCACCTTGTAGGGGCCCTGTGGGAGTGAGCACAAGGTGAGCCAGACTGTGTGGTGAAGTGGTTTTCATATAGCCTCGTGGACCCTTGCAAAAAACTGCAGCTGCCTGTGCAGAGCGCCTTGGCTGGGCTGGGCACAAGGACTGGGGAGTAGGCCCCCTCCTGCACCAGACTGGTCTGGCAGTGCGAGCCTGAGCTTCCCAGGTGCCATCCAAGATATGGGTCAAGTGCTGTAACCACATACCAGCCTCCTCAAGAGACCCAGGAACCAGAGTGGACTCACATCATGCAGGGGGAAGGCAGCAGTGAAGACACCCTCGTTCAGCAGCCGGTCCACCCCAACTTGCCCCTCCTCGATGTTGCCATAAGGGGTTGTGGCCAGAATCTCACGTAGCTGGGGGGAACAAAGAAAGCGTCACAAGAACTGCAGTCGTACTGTGCCTCAGAACTCTTGGCCAATGCTGCCCCCCTGCAGAAAGGAAGGGGAAATTTTGGTGGAAGGAATATAAAATTCAGTCCAAGTTAAAAAGATTTGAGTCCGCAGGTACTGGTGGAAACTGGTTTTTTTTGCCCCGAATTCCACACTAGATGCTCATGGACTTTGTGATGTTCCCCTTCCCTCATCACTGAAAACCGAGTGACTAAGAAAAGAGATTTTTAGTTGTAGTTTGTAAACTTATTTCTACTGCTGTTAAGCTGCTGTCAGGGCTGATCAGCCTGTGAGCTGTCTCATTCACAAGCAACCAGGGCTGCAAGCCCGGCCTTTGCAAGAGCCAAGCAGAAAACAGCTCTTGCCTCTTGGGAAACTTTCTGAGATCTCCAAGGGTTTCCCAATCTGTCCAAGAACAAGACCACAACCTTCTGGTGGTCAAAGGTTTGGTGAAAGATCAGGGAGAGGGTATGGGGCAGGCACCCCCTGAAAAGTGAGAGAATCTGGTTCAAGTCCTTGCTTCAGTGAACACTTGCTCCTGTTAAGTGGAACAGTTTGAGTGTGGGTGGTGGACAGTGCCCCACCCCAGCACCCGGTGATTGGAGCACTTGCCTGGGGAGTGCTGGGAGATTGGGGCTCATGCCATGGTCTGAACTGAACAGAGCAGGAATGTATGCCAGCCAACAGCTGACTCGCATGCTCTGCCTCGTTTTGACCAGAAATCCCATCCTGGGGCCAAGACTAGGGGTGCACCGATAGAGATTTTTTGAGCCAATACCGATGGCTGATTTTTAAGGAGCCATATTGGCCGACACTGATCCAATTCTGATATGCAGCCCTGCAGTGTGGAGAGTGGCATCCGGCTACTAAGTCTGTTGTGGGGGAAGGGGTAGGGTGTGGGGGGGTGCAAATCAAGGCCCCTGCAGTGAGGGAGGGAGTGGGACGGAGCTGCCGCTCATCTGGGGGATGCAAGGAGTGGGAGAGGCGGCTCCCACTGCTGCATGCACCTCCGGGAAAGGCAAGGAGGATGTGCGCCCCCAGGTTTGCATGTGGGGTGAGGCAGGCTGCTGCTGCAGGCCGAGGCTTGGGGCTGCACCAGGCTCTTCCCAGCGGGTTCCAATGAACCCATATTTCCTGATGAAAGAATATTTCATCAAAAGAATCCCAACCAATTCATACTGTGATCAAAGCTGCCCCAAGTTGGCCAGCACATGCAGCCTGCTCAAAGGCCAAGCTGGCACCAGCCTGAATGTCAGCTTCCAGGAAACACAGGTATCTGCTCCCAAGCCACCCTGACTCCTCCCAATTTGACCTGCGCCTCCATGAGGACACCCAGCCCAAGCCTAAGCCTAACCAGGGTCCCAGACCTGCTCTACCTCTTGGAGATTGCGCATGGCATTCTGTCCCCACCAGGATGCGCAGCCCTCTTGTCTGTGCTCACAGATGCAAAGGCAACTCTCAGGCTGGAAAAGAATGGAGTCAGGAAGGCCCCATCTCAGTCCCAGGCCTCATGTCCTCTAACTTTCCCCTCAGCCTGGCTCCCCTGCCCCATCCCATGGCTGGGTACTCACTATTTGGTGCCGCTGCGTGCTGCTGAAGAAGCTGTCTTGTTCCTTACTCCCTAGGAACCTGAAATCAGGCATGCAGAACCATGATGGGAATATGCCAGACAAGCTGCAAAATGCCTAAGGTGCCATGCAAACAGCAAACCATCATGGCTCCTGTCTTCTCCCCTCCTGACATAAACCACAGGCTTCTGGCTGCCTCCTTCACTGGGGCATGTGATATGCTACTATATGTCAAGTGCCCATTGGTGGAGGATGGGAAAGTGACAGGCCTGAGGGGTTCCAATGACCATGACACCTCTTGATGTTAGTACCTCGATGTCACTCAGGCCCACAGTCCATCCATTCCAAGTCAGAGATTGCCCTCAGAGCAGCCCTGCTCTGCTCATCACCTCCACCAAGGCACTCTTCTTATAGGGCCATCCATCCCCTCGTCCAGTGCAATCTTATCACTGCTACTGCCATGCTGCTGCAGCTACCATTGCCCTAGAGGACTCTAGGAGCTGGATGGAGACATGGCTCCTGCCCTGGGGCACTGGCAGTCTAGGCAGGGGAGGGGAAGGTAAGGCAGAAAGCTGTATGAGTGAGCTCTCAAGCTTCCCTTTGGGGTGACTGGGCTTTCCAGGCCAGCTGGAAGCAGTCAGTTCTTCAGGAAGTGCCTACTGCTCCTGCACATGCTCCGCCCCTTCCCTCTCCATGGTGCATGGCAGGGAGAACACAATTAGGTCAATTCTGGGAAAAAGGAACCATGATCACCAGGAGGAGGAAGCAAGTACCTTCCCCAGCCCCAGCTCTCTTACCATTGCAACTTGTTCACCTTAAACTGGCAAGTGTAGTGGTCCAGAGGTAAGTTGGGGACCTCCTCAGCCAGCAAGTTGGGCATACCCAACCGCCTCAGCATGCGGGCTGACCAGTTTGAAGCCTGATTGGCCAGGGCCTAGATGGGCAGAACAGGAAATGTTCAGGTGGAGGATAAGGACAGCAGTGCCATGGGACTGAGTCAGCAGGGGAGGAAACACAGGCTGGTGCACCCAAGGGGTGGCAGTGAGCACAAGAGCCTGCTTCATGCACAGTGGAGTGAGAAGGGCCCTGGGTACCAGTGTGGATGAGGCGTATGGCAGGAGCAGGACATGTGACAACATGCATGAGAAAGCACTGAAGGGATATAGGGCCAGCCAGCAATGTGTGAAGCTGCAGAAGGGGAGGGGAAGGGAGAGGTAGCAAAGCCTGCAGAACTGGGCCCTTTACCCATGTGACACTGATGGCCCATAAGCAAGTCTGCCCAGCCTGTGAGCAAGTCTCCCTGGCACCTTCTCAGGTTGGGCCATTCTGGAATCGCCTTGCATCTCAGTGCTGCAGCTCAGGGCAGAAATGGCCTAGTACAGGACACACAGCCATCAGCAGAGATCCCCTGCTGACCCCCCAACCCAGGCCCACAGTACTGCGGGTGAAGCAGTGGGGCACCCACCCACAGATGCTGTTGAGATGCTTATGTCCAGAGGGTGAGGTCCTGGGAACAGCAAAGCAGGGAAACAGCAGCCCCCACCCTGATGCTCACCTGTAGGGGGAGCCGGAGATTGAGATCCTCTGCATAGTAACACAGCACACTCCACCGGGCACTCAGCAGCAGGTAGTGCACAGCTTTCTTCTTATCCTCGGCTACATGCTGGCAGGAGGGAAGGGGCACAGACATACACTACAGTTAGCCACCTGCTGCACATCCCATGGTGAGGATGAGCTGACAAGTCCTGAGCAAGCAGGAAGAGGGAAAACCCACACAGCTTACTGTTATATTGACCTGAGCCCACCAGGCAATTGTTCCTGCACACCCTGACATGCAGGGCTTACAGCTCGGTGATGGGATCAGTGAGGCTCACAGCCCTTGGACTTTCCCTTCCTTGGGGAAGGGAATTTTTTAGAACAGGGTAAAACACCGGCTCTGTGGCCTGGTGCTGCTCTGCTGGTGGAAAGGGACTAGAGAGCTACCTGGAGAAGTACTGTCAGTCACCTCTGGTCAAGGATAACTGGTGTGCTGGATATGGGCAGGCTGGGGCCAGGATCAACTGCATTGCCCTAAGACTGCTCTACCTTATGCTGGGGGCCATCCCAGTCCAGCTGCAAGCTTAGGGAAGCAGGGAACTGGTCTCCAGCTCCCAGTCAGGGCACTCGCTGGAAGGGGCTTGGGTGCTGCAGATGTCACGTGAGGAGACAGAACAGAAGGGTAGGTTTCCCCAGCTCCTGGACCTGGCACAGCTTGGCTGGACATATGTCCAGGGCCCAGGACTCATATCTACCAGGCTGAATGGTTCGCAAGGCCTTGCTTATACATGAATAGAACCCCCCTGCCGGAAAGTGATGCAGAGGTGACTGTTTACTTATCTCCACTGTAGCAGTGGGGAGAGGACTGGATTTGCCACCACAGCCTGCTGTCTTTTGGGTGGTTTGTAGCTTGTGAGACCCAGAGATAGCTGCATTTGCAGCCACTGTATCAGGCAGCCCAGAGCTGTTTGCCTTTCTTTCCTCAGTGTTAGAAGCCAGGACTGAGCAGAGACAGGATAAGGAGCTTCCTTTCCTGGTTGGGGGTGGTTCCCTATCCCTTGAGAATAGTAGGAAAGGAAAGACTGACTTTTTCTTTCTCCCCCTTCCCCCACAGCAAGGCTCCTGGGCAGATGGATGGGGCTGGGAAAGTGTGGGCTCCAGAAACCTACCTTCTCCATCTGGATCCCGATGGCCTGGAGCTTGTTCAGAAACTTCTTCCGCCAGAACTTGTGGAGGACGGCATGTGTCTTCCACCAGGTTCCCGTGCTCTCACTGTCACTGCCTTCATCCCCCTGCCCCTCCTGTGCCCGGCAAGCCGTTTCCCACACCAGGACAAAGTCTGGGGCAAGAAGAGATTTTTCACATCCCTGCCCAGATGGGTCAGTGTCCTTGTACCTACAGTGCTCTCAAGGACAGCCGTTCTTGCTCCTCTCCTTCTCCACCCCCACACCTCTGCAATGCACATCATACTACCTGATCAGGACACTTACCCTATGGTCAGAATCAGGATGGGGCAAATCAAACTTCCTAGCAAAAGGTGCTTAAGCAGAGAGGAACTGCCAGTACCAACTCCAACTTGTTTCCAATATGGCAAAGTGGACCTTGCAAAAATAACAGCACCGTATCCCTTTGTGGAAGGGGTGCATTATTATGGGAAGATGTGCTGCCTTATAGAGGCCACCAGGATAACGGCTCTCGAGACAGATGGTACCAGTAAGGCTTTGCAGACCTCAGGTGTGACCAAACCAGACCTGCTACACTCATGGACCAGTTCACCTCAGCTGCACCTATGAAGACCACATTCTAAACTCTTCATCTCAACATACATGTTTGGCCTCCACCTTTGGCTGGCAAGTGTCCTTTAAAGAACAGGGCCCCAGTTTCCAACCCAGTATTTCTCTCTGATCAGTATTTCTCCCTGTAGGTAAATTGTGTCCTCACCAATCCTGGTGTGTCCATTACTGAATACATTTGCTGTGTCCTGCTTGCCCTGGCTTGAGTTGCTCACCTACGAAGAAGATATTAGCTCATGATCAAAAAGCAGAACGCATCAGGGCTTGGATACATACCCCCAGCAGAAACATCTGAGCCACTCACAGCCACTGGTGGGAAGCAGGGGGAGTGCTGGGAAGTAATGTTTGGGTTTCCTTCCCTTCTGCCCTTAACCAACCTTTTCCCACCTTTCTCATTCCTTCTAACCCATTAGTCTGTCTTGATGACACTAGCAACACAGCTCCACAAGGGGCTCATGGTCATTCTTTTTTCTGTTAGCCATGGCCAGAAGCCTGGGCTACTCATCTCAGTTGTGAACCTCCTCACAACATCCCTTTGCAACCACAAGACTCAGAACAGTCCTTGGAGACTAGAGGCTACTTTGTCTAAATGGTGTTGGGTTGGCAGAGGGCTGTGAGGGGCTGGAATCACTCTACAAAAAGGGGATTTTTCTGTTTCAATTTTGCACACTGTATGTGTGCACAAGAACACTGGAGCTGTAAAGAAAAGGGTAACATGCAGGATACTCTGTGGCTGCAGTTCAACATTGATTTAGAATCACTCAGCACTTGCAGATTTCTGAGGAGTGATGTGAAATTGTTACTGCCATGTAATGCTCGCAGAGGTTTTTAGATCTTATCACAGATGTGCAGGAGTGAATTGATAGCTGCGTTGAGCTTTTTTGTATCACCTGGGCACTGCTGGGACCACCCCCCCAGGATGGGGCTTAGGGAACAACAGCTACCGAATGAGCTGAGGGCAGGTTTCTCTAGGACAGGGCTGTCCAACAAGTGGCCTGTGAGGGGTTAAGTTGCAGCCTCTGGATTCCTGCCCAGCTGCTCCTCCCTCTATCACTCTGGCTACAGCTTCTGCATTTTGTGCATACCCCAGGAGGCATGGTGTTGGGAGCCCAGGGTAAGGCTGGAGCTGTGTGGTGCAGTGTTGGGGAAGGCGCCTGTGTGGTAATAAACAGGGGTGTCTGTGGCATGTGGCCCCCAGCCACTTAAAAGCTTGACAGCCCTGCTGTAGGACATGAGAGTAACACCCAACTCTGACAACAGGTGCCCTGGGAGCCTCTAAATCCATGCTGCAGAGATACCTGGTTTTCTAAGGTCTTCTCTGAATAGGGATGACTTCCAGGAATGTCCTCCTACTGTAAACATGTGCCACTGCCCCAAAGGCCATCTTCATGCTGAACTAAATCATACTCATAGTCTGCATCTACACTAGACCCTGACTGAATAGTAGCCCATAACCACTGTGCAGTAGCGCTGCATGGCAAAAAAATGTGATGTGACACTACTGAGCAGTGGTCACGAGCTACTGCAGTCAGTGTCAAAATAAAAGCCATTCCTCAGCACAACTGTGCACTAACTTTGGTTACCATGCAGTCATTTACTACGTCGTTATACAAGTACTAAATGACTGTGCAGTCAGGCTCTTGTGCAGGCGCAGCCATAGGGAGGGAATCCCAGATCCTCAGAGAATACAACCTGCATACAGGAGCTCCTGTATCCAAAGGGCAAAAGAAGGAGAGGGAGTTCAGGGAAATCAACTGCCTCAAACAGTGTACAGGCCAGGTTTCCCTGAACTCCCTCTCCTTTCGCCCTTTGGATACAGGAGCTCCTCCCTCACCTCACAGGGTAAGGAGGTCACTCTTTCCTCCACCACTTTGGAGGAGCAGTGGCCACACTCTCCAGGCAACCCCTATGTTTAGTGATTCCCTCCGTGGCAGGGGGCTGGAGGAGAAAACAGGCCAGCCCTTTCCTTTCAGTTGATAGATCCTTGCATGGTAGCTCTTGTTTGCCTACCTCTGAGATTTCAACAAAATCACGGTGCAGGCTCCCATAACTGGTCTCTCCGGCATCCTGGTCTTCGCTGATCAGATGGGTGCGGTCATCTTTGATCTTCTTCCGCGGCATGGCGATTCTTCATGCCACCAGCACCTTCTGCTATGCAGGGGCAAATCAGCAAGATGCAAGTTTTCAAGGCAGCACTCACAGGCCAAAGCCCCCATCTAACATGAACAAGCAAACAAGGACTTACACCCTTAAGGCCCAGAAGGAGAGATGATCAGGATCTGGCCATCACCTTTTCTGATGATGATGAAGGTCTAGGAGCAGTCTGGGGGTGAGCTGCTCCTTTCCTTCCCTGCCCTATCACAAGAGAGCTCCTGCTCATAAGTTTGAGCTCTCCGAAATGGGAACCCCATGTAACTGCTCACTTTGCTTATACTTAAGGCCAGTTCCAAATGAACAATAGAGGGAACTGTTACCTCCCATGCCAAAGACCATCCACATCCAACTACGCTTACACAATGCTCACTCACCTCTTCTACAATTAAGGCAAACAAATTGCCCAGAAAGAGGTGGGAGTGTTAACATAGTAATTAAGGGGACAGCACTGACTTCAGCCAAAAATACAGAACCCTATTCACAGGCACATCTCTCTGCAAAGACATGGCAACATGTGAATAAGTCACCCCATTTCGGAGGGAGTTTCTGATTTGGACATTCAGGATAGAACCTCTCCCTCTGTGAAAGGGCCTCAAACAAGGCCTAACCACCACTGAAGCTCTTCACACCCCGGCACAAGATGAAATTTGCTCTCTGCAAGTGCTATTCTTAGGACATGAACAGGAAGAGCCCTGTGAGGCCATTCTGGAAAGCAGAACAATGCTTATGTTAGCAGTATCCAGGAAGGTTTCTCATCTCCCACACAGAGCAGGGCTCGAGGGGCAGACAGCAGGTGCTTTTCTCAGTAGTGCACAGGTAGGAATGACATATTGTAAAATGCAGATTGTCTGGGGAAATATTGGTGTTGATGCAAAGGCAGGGCTTGCACTAAAGTTGCATCTTCCCAAGTTGTCAAAGGCTCAGCCATAAATCTGCATTAAATAATAAAGAAACACAGGGCAGCAGCCTATACGGCTCTAAAAGGAAAGAACATGCTGTGTTACTGCTCCAAGGTCACAGCTTAAATATAAGAAAGGAGACTGGTAATTTTGGTACCTCATTTGTAAATGTATTTCTGCCAGCTCAGTTGACAGTTATTCATTATGTGCAAGACCTGCTGGATGAGTTTGGTTTTATTTGATTCCAATATTAATATTTTTAATAATTTAGAAGGACATCAAAAGGCATTTATGGAAGTAGCATTGCCAGCAGCAAAAGCTTTCAGGCTGAGACACTGGACAAAGGAACTGGTGTCTTCATTATCAGAGCAGTTCAAGAAACAGTGTGCAGGTATCATAAGGATGGGGGGATTGGGGATTTAAAAAAAAATCTTTAATGGGAAAGGTGGTAGCTAGAAGGCTCTGTAATTAAGCAGAGAGCTAGGGGGAAGAAAGGGGGAAGGAGAAAGAGCTGATTTAGGGATAACTCTGTTTTTCTCATTCTACTAAAGTTTCCTGTTCTGTAGTTGAAGAAAATTGTTCTTCATTGTTACCATACAACATGTATGCCTGGGAATTGTTGTACATGCTGGCTCTGAAGCCACTGTCAGGGGATCCACATTTCACCTTAAATCTGAGATTTCTTTTGATTATAGCACTTGACTCTTTACTAGTGCTTTTTAGCACCTCCTGTAAATGCTTCAGAAGAGAGGACATGTTTTGTATTATGTAGCAAAGCCACCCATACTACTCGGGAAAACACCAGCCCTCTGGCCAAACGGGAAACTGCAGCACAGAGACACTGGGCCAGCCGGGTGGGGCTTGGGAGCAGGACGGGGCTCTGGATGGATCATCCGTGGCAGGGCCGCTGCCCTCTGTGCAGGCGAGGAGACCCCCGTGCGGATTTCTGGTCCGTTATACCAGGTCGCGGGGCAGGGAAGCAGTGTAGAATGGCAAACAAGTCTGCTGGGTCCTGTCGCACGACCTGGCTCTGCAGGGAGCAGAGATCCGCGCCAGTCTCCTTGCCGCTGCTGCCCGCCCTGCGCTGCGCTGCGCTGCCCCGGGGACGTGGCGCTGCGTGGGGTGGGCAGCAGCAGTGAGGAGACCCCGCCGCAAACCTCCGCTCCCGGAGGAGCCAGGTCGCACAGTGGGACAGTGCTGGGCCCTGCCGCGTGACCTGGCTTCGCAGGGAGCGGAGATCTGGGGCGGGGCGGGGCGGAGAGCCCGGCACAGACCCAGGTCACGTGACAGGGATTGCCCATCCCCCGGGTTGATTCGCCAGCTCTTGCCAGGGGGGCCTGGGCCCCCGGATCTGCATGCCGGGTTTCGGGAGGCTGCTGCACGTTGGGGCCAGCGGCACCACTACAGTCTTCCCGGCGCTTGGCACGTGCTGCGCTGCGCGTCTGCTGCTGGCCTCAGCCTGCAGCAGCAGCCTGCGGAAACCCTGCGTGCAGGTCGGGGGCCGTGCCCCTGGGAAGAGCTGGGGAAATGATCAGAGAGCTGAGGGAAGCGATCAGAGCTGGAGAATTGAACTGGGAGCTAGATGTCAATATGAGAGCAGTTGTTCCCCTTCCTCTTCTTAGTTTTTGCTTCCCTGCAAGCCCGGCTCCGAAACTCCGAAATTCTCATTTCCAAAACGTTTTGGAGCTTTCCAATTAATTTCGGAGCCTTCTGTTTTGATTCAGATTTGGTGTTTTGGGTGCCAAAATGGCCTGAAACACCTCCAAAATGAAACAGCTGTTGAAATTTCACAAAGCCCTAACACTAAGGTGGCTGACAGACATGGAAAAACAAAACAAAAGTGTGCTTTACCAGAAGCAACAGCATGTTAGTTGGACTGGGCTCTGCAGCATCTGTATAAATTGGGTGCTTCAGTAGGGCTTTTTGGCACTTATTTAAAGCTGATGCAATCAGCTATTAGATAAAAGTGCCAGAAAAGGCCCACTAACATGCTTGATCTATACAGATGTTGCATGAGCCAGGTCCAACTAAATACACTGCCCCTTCTGGGCATGCGCTGGGCTAGGTGCAGGGGTGCACAGAATTTAAAGTGCCCTTTTTGGGGTTTTTGTTTTACGTCTGTAAGCAGCCTCTGCCACTTGCCCAAGAGTGCCATAGTTTTCTAGCAAAGACAGGAACTGAACCAAGATCTTTCGCTACCCTGCCTAGGACTGAAGCCAAAGCCTGTGGAATCACAGAAAATTAGGGTTGGAAGGGACCTCAGGAGGACTTCTAGTCCAACCTCCTCCTCAAAGCAGGACTATCCCCAACTAGATCATCCCAGCCAAGGCTTTCATCTAGCCAGGTCTTAAAAAACCTCCAAGGATAGAGATTCTACCATCTCTCTGGGTAACCTGTTCCAGTGCTTCACTACCTGCTTAGTGAGACAAATTCTTCCTAGTATCCATGCTAAACTTCCCTTGCTGCAACTTGAGCCCCTTTCTCCTTGTTCTGTCATCTGCCACCACTGAGAACAGTTCAGCTCCATCCTCTTTTAAGTCTAATTCCGTCCCCCTTCAGGCAGTTGAAGGCTGCTATTACATCCCCTCTCAATCTTCTCTTCTCTAGACTAAGTAAGCCCAGTTCCTTCAGCCGTTCCTCATAAATCACGTGCCCCAGCCTCCTAACCATCTTCGTTGCCCTCTGCTGGACTCTCTCCAATTGTCTACATCCTTTCTGCAGTGGGGGGCCCAAAACTGGACATAGTACTCCGGATGTGGCCTTACCAGTGCTGAACAGAGGCAAATAATCACTTCCCTGGATCTGCTGGCAACGCTCCAACTAATGCAGCCCAGTAAGCCTTCTTGGCAACAAGAGTACACTGCTGGCTCATATTCAGTTTACTGTCCACTGTAACGAATCCCCAGGTCCTTTTCTGCAGATCTGCTGCCCAGCCAGTCAGCCCCCAGCCTGTACTGGTGCAAGAGATTGCTCCATCGTAAGTGCAGGACTTTGCACTTTTCCTTATTGAACCTCATGAGATTTCTTTAGGCCCAATCCTACAATTTGTCAAGGTGTCTCTGAATCCTAGCTTTACTCTCCAGTATTCACTACTTCCCCAAGTTTGGTTCCACAGGATCAACCCCAGGGGCATTCCACTTGACACTGGCTGCCAATTAGACATCGAGCCATCGACTACTTCCCTCTGGGCACCTGTACACGTGTTGGAAATCTGCTCCAAAGCGTGCTAATTAGCATGTGTTGAACCAGACTCAATTAATCAAGTCTGCTGAGCTACTCTAAGTGCCCCCCCCACCACACTGGAGCATGTGCATAGATGCCCTCTGAGACTGGTGATCCAGCCAGTTTTCTATCCAATGAAAGAATACAGCACTGGGACCCCAAACCTCAGGATGATGTACGTCTTTCATGGCAAGAAGTTTCAGAAACAGTAAGGTGCCACTATTTCCATTGTGCAGTAAATGACCTGTGCTGTGTGTGCAAAGTCCTCCAACTAAGAAAGTACTTGGAGATGTGAGAGCTACAGCAAGATAACTCAGGCATCCTCCTGCCTGATGTGGGATCTGAGGAGTCAAATGGGCAATAGCACTCACATCACAGACAGGACAGAAGTCATCGAAGCTGACTGAACCACCCCAGTCCCAGAGCTCTGAATCCTGTTGTAGGTACTAGTTTCTTCTATTGCAGGTTAACAGGGATTACAAAAGATTGGTTGGGTTGTTTTGAGTTTGCAAGGCTGCTGCTCCCACTTCTGCTCATGCAGCAGTCATTGCAGCTGTTTTACAAGTGCTGGGGCTGTTACTTAACTTTAATCCCCACAGAAGTCCTCAGCTGAGGTCCACCTGAACTGTTGAAATCTTCAACTGGCGTAGCAGTAGCAGCAGTTCAACAGGTCGCTATAACCCCTATGCTATAATACAGTCCCTTGGGCTTGAAATTCTCTAAGCCTTCGTCTCAGGGCTATGTGCCACAGGATAATTGCATGACACATTCCAGAAAGCATCAGTGCTGTTATAAGGGCCTGTTGCGTCGCAATGGACCAGAAGTTTCTGTCAAGAGCAATGGGGGCCAGCTAGGCTATTGCAAAGATGAATAGTGCAACAATCCATGTCATGCAATTAATGCCACTACAACCACTTCCTTCCTTTATGCCCACATATGCAGAGGAACAAATGTGTTACATTTGCCAAGGCTTTTCCACACCTTGTCCAATTCCTTGAAAGCAAGTAGCTTGCACAGACAGATAGCTCCCCCATTCAGAGAGTAGAGAAAATTTTATTTTACAGGAGAAATAAATATGCTCTTTGCAGGCTCAGCACAAGAGGGAGGCTACTCTCTAAGTGCCTCTAATGAAAAACATGTCCAAGATTTTCAGAATCACTAGTGATTTAAGGTGTTCAATGTGAGATGCCTTAAAGGAGGTCTGGTTTTATGAAGGGGAGGGGGTTCATCACTTTCTGGAAATCAGATCCCTTCAGGCATTTCAGGTTGGAAACACAAAATAAATCACTTTGAAAGTCTCAGCTTTTGTCCAGGTTTTGAAAAAGCACCATATTGGAAAACACTGCAAAGAGCCTGATGTTAAACATGACCTAGTACTGCGTTGGCAGAAATAGCTATATTTTAAACTATGCAAGTAGATTACAGCTAAGTTAATCTCAGTCACTTAATGCCCTTTTAAACACAACAGACTCCATCCATATTGGAGATGTAAGTTGTGTTTGACTTCACGTAGACATGGGCAAATCTAGGAAAGGGAAGCAGAAAGAAAGTAAAAGCTATTGCTTTTATAATTTTATCCAAGTGCTCTGGTTGGTACGCTGCCACTGTAATGCTCTATGCACTTCAAATTACAGCAAGCCAACCACAAGCAAAGAGGGGGGTCATCATGGAGCAATTTCACTCATCATCACTCTGTGTGACACCCTATGCTGAACTCACTCTACAATGGTAGTTGGTCTCTGCCCTTACACACACAAAAGTTTGGCTGCATTCAGAATACTGGGTGACAGCAGCATCTAGTTCAGAGGGCTCTCCCTTGCTCTCTGGACTTAAACCAAAGTATATTTGTGTTACCTGAGAACAGAGCTGATTCCTGCCACGTCACAGCCTCTTGGTGTTGCCAGCACTCAGTGGATTTATGGACTGTGCCTTTAAGAAAAAGAGAAACAGACAGTGAGAGGTGCCTGCCAGTACAGCCTGAAACCAAACACATGTTCCAGGGAAATGGTATAGTTTGGGAAATGATTTCTCCTCTTATTCCTGTTGGGCTACAGATTTCCACCTGTGCCCTAGAGGAAAGCTGAGACATCCAGCCTTCAAAAATAAAAATAACCTGCCAGCAAAGAAATTTACATGTTGTGTAAAGAACCAGTGGGCAAGAACTTGGGAAGAGTGGATTGGAGTCTGCAAATAATGAGAAGTCTCAACTGCAAGCAGAAGCTGGACAAATGGAAACGTGCTTGGAAATTAAGTTTGCACAGCCCCATGGGGAAGGTGGATGCCAATTTCCACTCATTTTCCTTGTGGTGTCCAAACCCCCTAGGCACCCTGGAACATTCCACCCTAGAAACCAAGCTCAGTCCCAATTTATTTCTCCCTCGCTCTGTTTTGCAGTCCTTGGAAAGTGAATAGGGTTGCAAGTGAGCAAATGATCTGCTTTGCAGCACTGCTGTATTCAAACCTGCAATGAATGTTTTTTTCTGTAAGGAAGGAAGCAAGCCAGTAAAGGTGCAAAATTCTGTCGATGAATAGAAGTTGAGAATACTTGTGGAATATAAGAACCCTTCCAGGCAATATTTTCTTTAGCACTGGGCAGCTCTGTGCAGCTAGGAGTGCAGTATTAAAGGCCTGTTGTACTTTAACAGGGCTAAGTCTGTAGTCAAGGAGCACACGTCTATGCTGAATCAGTTTGATCAGTCATGAAGCAACATGTTTGTAGGAAAGCTCACCAGGTTACCTCAGAGCAGCCTAACAGCGAACCCCCTTCCCAAGCAAATGTCAGCTCCTGTTCCAAAAGCTGCAGTAGAAACCTTCCCACAACTCCCTGTAAGCATCTGTCCTGCTCTGGAGCAGGGCTACACAAGGAGGCAGTCACAGAAGCCAGATTAGTCCTCCCAGGTTGCTGGCACCCAACACCAAGTCCTCTTTTTGTTACAGGGGGTGCTCCTCACTCAGCTGAACAAGGTTTCTGTCCCACCCCTCACAGGAAGAAGTGGCCAGTGGGAACAGAAGCCACTTCTGTGCTTCCCAGAAGCCCATCACTGTACCTGCTGCTGGGGGAGCTACAGCACTGGGGATGCCCTCCTATCCATGCTGCAGACTCCAGGGGTTAGCTCCATGCTGAGAGCTCTCGCTGAGGTGATTTTGCTTGGTTCCAAGTGTAGAGAAGACAGGTGGCCAAGGGGTCACCCTCCAGGTTACTGCCCCAGGCTCCTCTCTCTCTCTTGCCTTCCCCTGAACTTATAGAGACAGGGAAGTACTATCAGTTCATCTCCCTTTTTTGCTTCAAACTTTCTTTTACAGTTGCTTCCCGTCTTGGGAAATGCCAGGTTGCACACAGGAGAGGAAGAAATCCTAATAAAGCAGGGGAGATAGCAAGTTTACAAGCCCTTTCTGATTTGCTGCCTCTCTCAGGCCCTGCCTTGTTTGAGATGGGGGTGTGGATTTACAGATCCCTGCAGTTAAGAGTATCCACCTTTTAATAATATACATAGCAAGAAAAGCCCATGACAAGGAAGCAAGGAGTGTTGGCCTTTCTGTCCCCAAGCTGGCCTGGCTCTCTGGGTCCAGGCAGGTTAGTGTGGCAGTTGCTTAATGCATACAAGGGAAAAGTTGTACTGTTTTATTTTGGGGAGGGGATAGAAAATGTAAGGGCAGATAACATCCCAAATTGTTTTCTATCAGTTCTTTGTAGATCCATGACATCAACTAGGATGCAATCATTAATCACCAAGCCTGGGAGCATTGACAGTGACTCACGCTTGTAGATGTGGGAGTTACTAGTCACTTGAGACTCCACTTTCCCACGGAAGAGAAGCCAAGAGTGAAATGCAAAGGCTTTGGATGCTACTCGGTGGAGCACTGGGCTCCCCCAGTCCATCACACCTTCCACCAGGACAGCACAGATCTGGGAAGGGAGGGAGTCTGGTGTTGAGGATTTAGTCTAGTGATCTCTACTCACTTACACAGTCCCCACTTCATGTAGAAACTAAGCACTGCCCTCATCCTCACAGGTACCACCCCCCCCCCCCCC